ATTCTTTTTCAAAACATTTTAAAATTATCCCAATTATTTGCATTTTTTATTAATAAGGTAATTCGATTTTTTACTTTTATTACATAGATAATAAAGACCTCCAATTATTTTCCAATTCTCGACACGGCATACTTTTTCCTGGTCAGACCTATTCAACAACAGCGCATGTTTCTGTTCCAAGAGATATATATGGAATTTTCCACATCATAGTTAAAACTGACATTTACAATGAAGTGTTCGAGCATCTCAGCAAAGATAACAATTGGCTTTCCTCTGTAAGCGCTTCATAAATTTGATTTTTTTTTTCAAATGGTCGATGAATATCACAAGGACACATGTTCATTAATTGTAAACAAAACATAAATGTTAATATCAAGAGAGACAACTTTTTGACATTCGGAAAGAAACTGGTATGTATAGTGATATTCATGGGTTGTAACATCTATATTTAAAGAATAATCTAACAGTCACACTGACCCCTCCTCCTGACCTTTCCGTGATTGATTTTTGGATACATCCGTCTTCTAGTCTGTCAACTGGCGATATTGCTGAGGTTAAGTGGACCGTAAAGAATATTGGACTTAGAACACCCTACATCAACTCATGGTTGGATGAACTGGTATGTATGGAACACTTTCACAATGTATTTCATTTCAATTTGTAAATAATTCAAGGAGAAGAAAATTAATCCTTATATTGAACTTAAAGAAAATTTAAGAGTATCATTATAATACACTGCTATCTTAGATAGGCTAAATGAGCTTTTCTGATCATGTTATAACCGGCGTCAGTCCGTTGTGTGTCACCTTTCCAAGATTTTGACTTCTCCAAAAGAATCCTTTCGTAAAAATGATTGAAGTTTGTTTTTTTTTTCAAATGAAGGACAACAACCTCTAAGATAATAAGGAAAAGTGATTGAATTCTTCAAAACATTTTTTTCTGACTAACAATTGGACCAGAAAAGATCAAACTTATCCTGTTCTATGGCATCTGATAGACCCTATGGTGGATTTCAGCGGTCTGAATTTCCTCTGATCCAGTAGCTTTAAAGGACTTCATGTGAAAGCTTTCATTTCATAATCTGAGATTGTCCAAATCATGTACCCCTAATATATGTTCGAAAAAAGTTTTTATGATAACAAAGAAGAATGTTGATTTTGGTTTTATTAGGCCCTGAAAATTGATGTTTTCATTTTTTAAAGGAAGGGTGTACAACATTGGACAATCAAAACTTTAAACATGAGTTCAAGGAACACACCTTTTATAATTTTATTTGCAAAATAACAGCCAAGTCATGTTAACAAAGTAATACTTTTATAAAAGCAACCTCATGTAGAGTAGAGTCAAATTCATTCAACTGATGATATCACTTGATAGGGTGAGGAATACTGGGAAAGTTTCAAATATTCATATAGGTAAAAAACTTTTTTTCTCCTGATGAATAGCAAAGCTGTGTGTCAAGTCTTTGTAAAAAAAATCAGATAGTATAGACTCAAGTTTGTTTAAATCATGACCAGGGTTAGGGTTTTGTTTGTTGTTTAAACACACGTCTCTAGTATTTCTCACTCATATTGAGACGCCACCACTTACAGGTGGAGAGCTCCAAATTTTTACCTATTCTCGGCACTCAAAGCCATTGAGCTGTGGAAAATCTTTTATGTGCCAGCATCTACTGAGACATTTGATCTCGATTTATATAGTCTCATCAAAAAAGGTCTCCATTTTTTACAATAACATTCTTACCCGCTACGCAAGGAAAGACTCCTTATTCGCACCTCCAAATTAGACGCTCGATCGGCGGGGTTTGTTTGTTTGTTTTTTTATGTTTAACGTTTCTCTCGAAAACTTTTCACTTATATGAAAACGCTAAAAATTTCCAGTGGGGGCTTCAGATCTTGGACTATACTCGCCACTCAGGGCCATGGAGCAGCAAGGGATCTTTTTCGTGCAAGCTCCTACTGAGACCGGGACCTAGGTTATCTGAAAGGTTAAGTCTCCACGTCCCACAATGGGATTCAAACCTGCGATGTAAGGATCAACTCTTTACTTCGCGACTCTGGAGCAAAAACTCGCCACACAGTCGACAGGATAGCCAGAGCCATGATAAGACATATCCATACATCCATACGAAGGCATTCTCGGGGTGTGTAGATTTAAATTTGTGCAAATCATGAGTAGGGATACTGTAAACCAACTTTTATTTGCGTGCGAGAAATTTTCGTGGAGTTCGCTAGAGCCTTGTTATCGCGAATATTTCTTGCCGCGAACCAGACCATTCAGTCTCTACATGTCCATTAACTACAGATAAAATACCTTTAACGCGAAAAATAATCGCCACGAAGTAGTATACCCCTGATAAATTGCGAAAAAAAGTCGACGCGAATAAAAGTTGGTTTACAGTAGCTTGGACCACAGTGTGTAAAATGGGGAATATATATGAGGAAATAGCAACTCTGGTGATCGTTGTTGAACACAGGTTTTTAGCTCACCTGAGCTGAAAGCTCAAGTGAGCTTTTCTGATCACATTTTGTCCGGCGTCCGTCTGTCCGTCTAGTTGACTGTCTGTCAGTCTGTCCGTCTGTCTGTCTGTCTGTAAACTTTTTACATTTTCGGCATCTTCTTAAGAACCGCTCGGCCAATTTCAACCAAACTTGCCACAAAGTATCCTTGGGTAAAGGGGATTCAAGTTTGTTCAAATGAAGGGCCACGCCCTCATTCAAGGGGAGATAATTGGGAATTAATGAAAATTTGGTGGCATATTTTAAAAATCTTTTTCTCAGGAACCACTGTGCCAGGAAAGATGAAACTTATGGGGAAACATCCACAGGTAGTGTAGATTCAAATTTGTTCAAATCATGACCCCCGGGAGTAGGGCGGGGCCAAAATGGCCGACCAAAGTTTTACATAGATATATATAGGAAAATTCTTTAAACATCTTCTTCCCAAGAATGACAAAGCCATAATTCATCATATTTATATGGAAGCATGTTTGGGTAGTGTAGATTCAAATTTGTTCAAATCATGACCCCCGGGGGTAGGGCGGGGCCAAAATGGCCGAACAAACTTTTACATAGAAATATATAGGAAAATTCTTTAAACATCTTCTTCCCAAGAATGACAAAGCTATAATTCATCATATTTATATGGAAACATGTTCAGGTAGTGTAGATTCAAGTTTGTTCAAATCATGACCCCCAGGGGCGGGGCCAATACGGCCGACCAAAGTTTTACATAGATATATATAGGAAAATTCTTTAAAAATCTTCTTCTTAAGAATGACAAAGCCATAATTCATCATATTTATATTTAAGCATGTTCAGTTAGTGTAGATTAGAGTTTATTCAAATCATTACCCCCGGGGGCAGGGCGGGGCCAAAATGGCCGTCCAAAGTTTTTCGTAGAAATATATAGGAAAATTCTTTTAACATCCCCTTGGTTCTTTACCATTATTCTGACAGATAAATATCCAATAAAGTTTTTAGGAACAATTATGCGTGCAATTTCTGTATAAAAACCACGATTTTGTAATGGGCCTTTGACATATGATGTAAATTTTGGTAGATTTGGTACTGGAATTTCTGTATCAGCATGCAAAGTCAAAAAATCTCTCAATCTTCTTCTCAAGAATGACAAAGCCATAATTCAACATATTAATATGGAAGCATGCTCAAGTAGTGTAGATTCAAATTTGTTCAAATCATGATCCCCAGGGTTAAGGCGGGGCCAAAATGGCCGATCAAAAATTTTTCATATATATATATATATATATATATATATATATATATATATATATATATATATATATATATATATATATATATGTGTGTGTGTGTGTGTGTGTGTGTGTGTGTGTGTGTGTGTGTGTGTGTGTGTGTGTGTGTGTGTGTGTGTGTGTGTGTGTGTGTGTGTGTGTGTGAAAATTCTTTAAAAATTATTTTCTAAAGAATTGCAAATCCATAATGGTCATGGGACTACTTTTGCATATAAACTTTACAATTAAAAGCCATTTTCTACTTTTTCCTACCCTTAGTGCTCAGGTGAGCGATGTAGCCCATGGGCCTCTTGTTTTGTAAAATATCTTTAAATTTTTGCGAATGAAGTAGCACATGTCACAAAATATGTGTATTACTCTTAATATGTCATATAAAAATTACTGATCTTTCAGGCCTTGGAACAGAATGATTCAAAGAAAATTCTAGGACGTTTTCCCATATTCAAAACACTTCCTCCAAATGAAAATTATACCTACTCAACAACGTTAACTGTTGACTCTAAGACGGAAAGTGGATGGTATAATATATCCCTGAAAACTGATATGGGGTCAAACGTCTTTGAACTGGAAACGCGTACCAATAATATTAAAATAGTTCCTATTTTTATCAGACAAGCTTTGCCAGATCTGCAAATTGACGAAATGACAACAAATCTTTCCATAGATAGTCTAGGTTATAACTTACTAAATGTATCATGGGTTGTTCGAAATGTTGGAAAAGGGCCTACAATAAATGATTATTGGACAGATACAATTTTTCTCAGTGAAAAAGATAACAATGGTTTTTACTCGGAAAGAATTCTTTCGAATAAGGCTATTCGAATTCCTGGCTTACAATGCAACTACACATACACAAAAAATGTTCTGATAAAGCTAAGTGAAAGGCTGTATGGTATGAAAAATATTTCGATAAATGTTGATAAATTTCAAGTTTTGTATGGAGATAATATAAGGGACAACATAGCAACCCAAGAAGTAAGTATACCACTACGATCTCCAAATCTGAGAATTATCTCAACGAAGTTGTTGAATGGTACTCTGTATAGTGGAAGAATTGGCGAAATATCATGGACAGTAGTTAATACAGGATTACCTATTCCAGAGGACAAATTCTGGAGAGATTCTTTAACTTTGCATGCGGATACAGAAATTCCAGTAACAAATCTACCAAAAATTACATCATATATCAAAGGCCCATTACAAAATCGCAGTTTTTATACCGAAATTGCACGCATAATTGTTCCTAAAAACTTTATTGGATATTTATCTGTCAGAATAATAGTAAACAACCATGGGGATTTGTTTGAAGGAAACAGCTATGAGGATAATGCGATGACCATACCTATTACCGTTTTATCACCCCCCTCACCCGATCTGGTTGTCACAAAAATAAACAGTTATCTCCTGCACGGCACACGTACTGCATATGTGTCTTGGACAGTTGAAAATTCCGGAAACTCCATGAGTACAACTACACAATGGGTGGATGCCATTGGTATTAAATTATCTGATGAAAATAAAACTTTAATTCTATCAAAATTTAATCAGTCATTGCAACTTGAATCTGGTGCTCAGTGCACATTAAATCAAACAATATTAATACCTTCGGCAATAATTGGTGAATTGCAATTCTATGTTGTCATTGACTTCGAGGAAAATATTGAAGAAATAAATGGCGAAGCAAACAACTGGAAAGAAGACAGTCACAGATATATATTTACTGGTATTCCTAGAGCAAATCTTATAGCCACTATAATTTCAACAGAGATTTGTTCATTGGAGGATGACAATTATGTCTGCATATCGTACAACGTTTCTAACATTGGTGGACAATCTACCGAAAAATCCTCATGGTATGACGCTATTTTTGTTTCTTTTAACCCAAACTCTACTACTGTGAGCTTGCAAAACCTTCACAATATAGCTTTACTCACACACATTGGAGAACTATCCCCATCCGACGTCTATACCGTAAATACTACAGTAACAGTCCCTCAGGATTTTGAAGGAAATGAAACATTCTTCTACGTGTACCCGGATTATGAAATTCAAACTATATCAGAAAACCAAACCTTTGAAATAAATAACGTGATATCCTCGGTCGAACATGTATTTTATGTTCCTCCAAGAAAGCCATGTGTAAATTTGAACGCACATATTTTGTCCAGAATTAATCCCAAAAACGGAGGTGAGCCAATGAAAATGCTTTTAAATATAACAAACAATGGTACTTGTGATATTTATAAAAGTTTTTTCGTCGCCATTTATCTAAGTAAAGATGTCAACTATGATATGTTTGAAAGAAAAATTAAAACACTCAGAGTAGATGAACCTATTTTGGCAAACAGCACAATATCTACCGAGGCAAAGATAGATCTTCCTTTTATACATGAAACGCAGGATTATTCCTTGGTAATTCAAGTGGATTCTCGATCCGAAATTATTGAAATAAATGAAGATGACAATATTGCAATAACATTTCTTATCATACAAAAAAATCTCAGGACCGATATTGCTGTATCAAATGTAACTGCACCAGCGGAAGTAGACTATGGAAAGAATATCACTTTAAGTTGGTCAGTTTATAATGATGGCGCTGAAACTGCCCGAGGATACAAATGTGACTATGTGTATTTTTCCCAGGATCTACAATGGGATATAAGTGATTATCAGTTCGGTGAAACACAATGTAAATCGTTTGCTATAAAATCGAAAAATGTTTCTCATGGGATACTTAATACATATACAGCTCAACTTCCTCCTCTGGCTGCAAGATCATACAGAACAATCGTTAAAGTAAGAACAAATTTAGAAGACTATAATCCGAAAAACAACATTGCAGTTTCCATAAACAGTACGAATATAACATTTCCTCAATGTGCTCTAGGGGAGAATCTAACATTTAATATTGCCCCTGCCGAATCAATGGTTATACGCATCCCAGATGTACCTGCAGATCGTTCCCTTCTTGTCAAAACTAGAAGCCAGACGAGTGTCATATTTCACGAAGTTTTTATAAAGCTTGGATCTGCGCCAAGTGACTCTAATTTTGACAGCACAGTCCTTGATCCGTATCTAACCAGTCAAGAAATATCGATTCAGAATACACGAGAAGGAGATTACTACATCTTAGTTAAATCACACGAATCTGATCTCCAAAATGCATCCACTTCGATTACGTTAGAAGCTAAAATTGCAAAATTTGAAATTTTAAACTTTTATCCAAAATATGTAGCATTGCTAGGGAACGTGACCCTAAAAATATATGGCACCCTTCTCCCAGAGGACTTTACGGCTTTTCTTTACAACGAAACTTTCCAACTTCAGTGTCAGAAACAATACTGGTTTTCGTCCTCCATGGTGGCGGCCACATTTGACTCAAGAACTTTACAAATCAACTCAAGCTACAGATTGAATTTAACTGACGGTGAATCAAAACAGACAGCCTCACTACCGATTGCTTTGACTGTTGTTAAAGGAATAGCTGGAAAGGTTGTTACTAAAATATCGGTGCCTGGTCCACTACAAGATGATGACATAGGAGAAATAAAGATAGATTATGAAAATGTGGGTCAAACTGATGCTACTTCTCAGATATTTCGAATACGAGCAGAAGGAAATGGCCTGCTAATGTTAGTAAACAACAAACAAAGCAAGCGTTGGACTAATAGTATTACAGTAATTGGGGGATCATCAGACGGGCCTGGAGGAATACTCTCACCTTCAGGGACCGGTCGGTTATCCATTAAAGTAAAGTCTGAGAGTAGAAGAGTCCAAATTACCCTTGCAAAGATTCTTGAAACAGATGAATCAACACATTCGTACCTGAATATGAAAAACACTTTAAGACCTAAATATTATGATAGAAGTAATTGGGATCGGGTGTGGGAAAATTTTATTCAGCTTGTGGGAAAATCATGGTTTTCGCTGCAAAACAAGTTGTCCGAAATCAGAAATGAAATGTCTTTGGTAGAGCAGCAGCAACTTTCATTCAATGAAATCATGCAGCAAATTATCGATATTGCAGATGGTGTCGGCGAAAAGCATTACATGGCTGAATTTTCAGACTTTGCAAATTTTGGATCATTAGAGAAAACTTTATTAGATACCGTTCGTGCCTACCCTCGCAGAATAGGTTTAAGAGGTGTCGATGGTGCTTTTGGAATAGGATGGATAGCCCCAATTTGGTGAGTTAAATAGTTTTTTGAATCAAAACTTTCTTTTGGGTATGTTTTTCTTATGAGTAATATTAATTTATTTTCAATGCAGGGAATGCTATCTGGAAGGTATGGATGAGGTGCTGGCACTTATGAACTGGAAAAGAGAAGAAATTGTATTTACGGCATATTCATATGGGATATATTCCAATGAAGATATAGGAAATCTTACAATGATTAGTGAAGGTTTACCTAAGTTTCTTAAAGATTGAATTTCTATATTATCTTCATTTGAAGTATCAACACATTTTGGTTTGCAATACTGCCTATTTATACATTCTAAGACTATTTTAGTTTTCGAACAAACCATTTCTATAAAAGCATCGAAAATAGATGAATTAATATGTCAAATTGTAAAGAAAGTGTATTATGAAATTAAAATATTTCCCTTTTATCATTTAACCATATCATAATAAAATAAATTCCATTTTCATCGAAACAGTCATCTTTTCTTTACTAGATTTGGTTTCTTTTTTGGATCCCAAAACTAAAGATGTGTTTCATTTTAATGTCACAACTGGAAACGTTTCTTCTATAGTGAGGCAAAATGTAAAGTTTAATCTTTTCTATGACAACCTACAGACTTTAACAAGAATCACATATGGTGGAAATACGTTGGATTTTTCTTATAATGACAATTCGAAAATAGAAGCAATAAATAGGAGGGAACTATCAGGAAATTTTGAAACTTGGTAAGAATTTTAAACGATACTTTTAAATTGATTTCTCCTTACAACATTACTAGTACATAAATGTGTATAAATCATCCAGAATTTTACATTTCTTTTTCAGCTTGTACTCCTACACAGAGAAAAACTTCCTTTCTACTGTAAAATGTGGGAGTCATGTTACATCCTATCTATACAGCGAAATAGGTCATTTAATGAGAATTTCTGAAAGTTCTGGTTTACTTCACGCGATACGATATTCGAGTGACGGCCGTTTGAAGTCAGTGGACAAGTATGTAAATGAACGGCTCATTTCTCGTACAGTATACAACGATCACTTGAATGGAAGAATTGATGCATGGACCATGCCACAAAATATTATAGAATCGTACTGGATAACAACTCAAGGTCATATAGCTGGCTTAAAAAAGAACTTCTTTCCTATTCGTAAGTTTCAACGTCATAAAGATACAGATGAAATCATTGAAGGGGATTTGGTAAGATCTTTAATCCATGTCTTTCATTTTATATTCTAATTACAATACAAAGTGATATTAAAACTCAACATAGATATACAATATATAGATTTTCATCATTCTAATCAGTTGGTAACGATATTAAATTATAATATTTAATGGGGATTTTTATTATACAAAATACCTCTAAAAGTGTAAGATATTGAAACTGCAGTCTTTTTCACGTATTTTGTTTTAGATTATTGAACGTAGAATTTCGTATGATGATATTCACGAAATACAAGATGGCAATGGAAATAGTGTTTTCTTTCAAGAGGATGAAAATGGAAATATTGTAAGCTACGCTGATGCTGATTTGAATGCATACTATATCGTACGATCCTTTAGAGGTTATGTATTCATGTTGATGTATCCAGACAAATCCAATGAAACTTTCGTCTATGCTAACAAATCGTTAGTTCATAAGGATCAATGTGGACGAAAAATGACTTACCATTTCGATGATACAGAGAAACTAACATTTCGCTATACAGAGGATAGTGGTTTCCTTCATTTTCAATATAATGAAATTGGTCGGATAATATCCTTACAAAATCAAGATACATCTACCTCACTTTCTTATAATGAAAATGGACGCATTACAGAATTAAGGTCTGAAGAAAACACAATTCATCAAACATACGATAATCAAAATCTTCTGAAAAGGTTAAGAATCTCTGGAGAGCCGTATGACATTGATTATTCGTATAATGATTATGGACAGATTATGTATGTTACAAACAGGGCAGATGATCAGATGCTAATAAGAATGATGTACGATGCCAATGGGATGATTAAACAAAAGACTCTTGGTAACAATGCGAAAACAGTTTTCACATACTACGAAAGGAAAAAATTGCTTAGGACATTATCAAATTATTACCCAAATGGGACAATCTCTTCCAAATTCCAGTATAGCTACGACCGGAAAGGAAGACTCTCTGCAATGACAACGACACAAGGAAATTGGTCATTTTCTTATGACTTAACTGGACAATTAGTGTTCATCAAAAATCCAATGAATTTAACGACAACCATTGTGTACGATCAATGTAAAAATCGTGTCACTGTCTCGCAAAATGGAAAAACAGACAATTATCAACGAAATGAATTAAACCAGTACATTTCTATTGATGACTTAGATATTGAATATGATAGGAATGGAAACTTGATAAAAAAGGGAAATCTTTCCTTGGATTTTAACGAGGACAACCGGTTATCACGTTTTAATACAACATCTAACAACTGCACACTTCACTACAACGGGTTTGGGCATATTAGAAGAAAAATATGCAGAAACAATATAGAAATTTACTCTACAGATTCATTTGGTAGAGTATTGAAACAGGTAGATGTATTGAAAATTTTTCAAATACCTCGTAGCCTTTTCTCTTATATAGTTTATTTACCCGTCTTTCTGGAACGTGTTTTAAGTTTGAATAAAACAAAAAATCATTTTTAATGATAATTAACACACATTGTCGTTTTATTTCAGTTTTAAATTTTTCTGATAATTAATGCATTTTAAATTTTTCTGAAAATTATTTCATTTAAAATAATTTGTATTATTTCATTTATTCAGAAACATTCACAAAGAGGGTCAACTGATTATCATATATACGAATCTGAAATAGGACTGCTTGCAACAAAGAGAGATGGAGAATATTATTACTACCAGTATGATGCTTTTGGGTATGTAATTGTTGAGGTCGAGACTATATAGATTACACAGTGAAAATTCATTATTTTTTGAAAATCTTCATTACACCTGAGTATTAAATAAACTAACCAAATACATAATTATGTTGAATAAGACTGCCTCTACCAAAATTGTGAATTTCATGACCAGGCTGAAGTGGTCTAGTGGTAGGGCGGGGCATTTTCTTATATATAGTATATGCATTTTTCTTTCTAAATCTTCTCTTCTCCTGGATATTAAACAAACTAACCAAGTACACAGTCATGAAGAGCAAGAAAGTCTCTTCCAAAATTGTGAATTTCATGGCCCCTGGGTCAGGGGTTCTGGTGGTAGGGCGGGGCTCTAATGATTACCGGTATTTAGTGAAAATGCATGAATTCTATAAAATAGGGGATCCACTAAATAAATGCCTTTATGTATCATATTAATTTAAAAGCTCTCTTATGAAGTATAGACTTAAGTATGTACCAACCCTTTCCCCCAAACCCACTTTAATATTTATACTCTTCAATACTGGACTGATTTTTTGCTTTGACCTAGCCAGTTGCTCAAGTGAGCGATGTAGCCACCGTGCCTCTTGTTTTCCTAAATGTATTCATGATGTTTATTTGATATTCCCTTTAGTGACCATTGAAATCATCTAAAAAGTAGTACATGAACAAAAATGTCAGATTTTTGCAGTTTTTCTGCAATGTTAGATCTCAATTTATCAGAGAGTTCAGAATTATTTAAACATAATTGCATATTAAAGTTCTTACTTTTTCTAGGTCTGTTGTGGAAATTTTAGATCATCAAGGGAATACCATTAATAGGATTTCGTATGACGCTTTTGGGAATGTTGTTTACAATCAAAATAGATTTGTAAGTGAATTCCTCTACCTTGGACAATGGGGAACATTATCAATTAACGAATTATCAGGGATTTATTTAGTAAAGGGAAAATTGTACGACTCGCACCTGGGTCGATTCCTGAATATGGATAAGCAAGGAATATTTTGTCATAAACCAAACTTATACATGTTCAAAGGAAATAACCCATTGAGAATGGCAAACAATATAGAGGATGAAGACAAATGTCAGATGAATGACCCATGTAAGTTGTAATTTTTAAAATATATCACCTGATTTATTTTGATGTATAATACGTTTTCTCTATACTTTTCAATTGTATTCTTTAGAGAAAATATTTTATGGATATTTTGTATAAATATTTTAGATGTACATATGATTTACACGTCTCCAACCTTTGATGGATCAACATACACATTAAACACGTATTCAGAAAATCACAGAAGGAACATTATTGTTGGAAAAACCATGCATCGCCGCCAGAAACGGTCTGTTGCAACCTTTATTAAACACAGTAAAATAAATAAAGGGAATGGACTAAAAGATGTATTCGATAATACATTTGACATAGAAGAGCGTTTAAAGGACAAGTCTTTGTGTCAACAATACTTCGCTGATTCAGCACTAACCGAAGGTCTACATTTCTTGGAAGATAAGATTTTCAAATCTTCGCCTTTTGGACGTGCATTGGATTTCGCTACGCTTGCTTACAAACATGGAGATTGCATTTTATCCCCTTGTGATTGCTTGGATAATGCTAGGCAGGTAAGGCGATATGACTGCATCAATAAGATGACTCACTGAAACATTATGTCAAATTTTAAAACAAATTTCATCAATTTTAGACCTTAGCTTCGATTTACAACTTTGATCAAATAAATGTTTAATACTGGGATTATTTTTGTTCTTGTATTTAAAACATTATATGATTATTTCATACTTTCAGTCTTTGCATGATTCATATAATGAAGCGAAAATGAAAATCAATTCCTTCATAACTGACGCCAGAGCGAGAGAGAATGCCATGACGAATTATTGCAATGAATGGAAGCAGACTTGCGTTAGACAGTTTATTCCGGTAAAACTTTTTGGGGATTTTTGCTCAAAGAAATCAGTTATACTTGAAATTTTCAAATTTTTATTTACTTTATTTTAAAAATATATCAAAATAACCGTCAAATTCCAATTCCAGATAAACTGTGGAAAAGTCAGTCATTTCCTTAGTGATCAATTTAGCCATTTTAAGGATGGGTTTAAAAGTATTTCCGACAAGGTTACATCATTATTCAATTCTATGGAGGCTGAAATCGAAGATGCAGCACGTGTAGCTTCTGATGCTTGCCATGCCTTTGCAAAAATCGGAGAAGGATTCATGCACTGGATAAATTCACACGATCCTGTAATAATAAAGAATGAAATGAAAACCTATGCGACATATGTGTATTATAGATGTCTCATTCAATGTTTTACCAAGCATTTTGAAATGATTTTCTTTACATAAATGGTGTTCTTCGATCAATCGACATAACATAATTATAATTATGATTTCTGATATTTCGATATTTCATTTTGCTTTTAAAAATGAAAATAAACAGTGAGAACAATTATTGGAGAATATGAGACACATACATAACCTGTAATTCTTTTCTAGAACAATTTGATTGGACCGACTGGATATGGCGCGGCAAGATTTATATCAAGAAACACTGAAATGATCTACACAATTCAGTTTGAAAATGATGCAAACGCTACAGCACCAGCGCAGAGAGTATACATAGAAATGAAATTTGACATAAAATTAAATCCAAGAACATTTCGACTTGGGACATTTGGATTCGGTAGTTTTCAAACAGAGCTTAATTTTAGGCAATCAGCAATCCAGGTATGGAGTATGCATTTTTCAAGAAATTGCACATGCAACTATTCTATAAAGTTTATCTGTATTTTCATGTATACAATTTCTCTTGGTTTTTAGAACATGTATATATTTTTGTCCCCCGCTTTCGCGAAAGCGAGGGAACATTATACCTCATTCCTCTGTCTGTATTTCACAAAAACTTTAACCTTGCCCATAACTTTTGATTTAGTATATATATTTCACATGTGTATTTCTTGTGACAAGACCTTTCTTTGGGTACCACCAAATTTGACCTTTTGACTTTGACCTAGGAGTTTGACCCACTTTTACACAGATATTTTAAACTTTTACTTTGGCCGTAACTTTTGAATGGAAGGTACTAGGACTTTCATATTTCACAAATTTATTGTTTTGTAGCAAGACCTTTCATTGGATACCAACAACCTTGACCTTTTGACCTTGACCTTGGAGATTTACTTACTTATGAAAAAACGTTAACCTTGACCATAAGTTTTGGACGGTGAGGCCTAAGGCTTTCACACTGCACACATATAATCCTTGTGAGAAGACCTTTTATTGGATACCAAGAACTTTAACCCTTTGACCTTGACCTTGGAGTTTTAACTACTATTTAAAGACTTTAACCTTGGTCACAACTTTTCATCAGTAGATACTAGGACTTTTATATTTCACATATGTATTCCTTCTTGCAAGACATTCCATTGGATACCAACAACCTTGACCGTTTGACCTTGACCTTGGAGATTTACATATTTATGAAAAAACTTTAACCTTGACCCTAACTTTTGAACGGTGAGGGCAAGGGCTTTCGTACTTCACATATATAATCTTTTTGAGAAGGCCTTTAATTGGATACCAACAACTTTTACCCTTTGACCTAGACATTGCAGTTTTAACTACTTTTATAAAAAACTTTAACTTTGGTCACAACTTTTGAACGGTAGATACTAGGACTTATATATTTCACATATGTATTCTTGTGGCAAGTCCTTTCATTGGATATCAACAACTTTGACCTTTTGACCTTGACCTTAAAGATTTACGTACTTATGTAAAAACTTCAACCTTGACCACAACTTTTGAACGGTAAGGGCTATGGCTTTCATACTTCACATATGTAATCCTTGTGAGAAAACCTTTCATCACCAACTTTGACCCTTTGATTTTGACCTTCGAGTTGACCTACTTTTAAAAAACGTAAACTTTGGCCATAACTTTTTAACAGTCAGTATAAGGGTTTTCATCCTTCAAAAAAATCAACTTCAATGATAATTTCTAAGAAATGACATATGATAGGATGTTCATATTAGACAAAATATGTCATAAAAAAATAACATTTTCTTTGAATTTACTTGTTTGTTTTATTTATCATCTCATGTATTTAAGGAAAAGTTTAACATGACGGAGGATTTGGGAGTATTTGTCGCAATACGAGGAGGACTGGACATTGTAAATAAAAAAGCTTCCTGGGAATTGCAAGCAATTAATGCTAGTACTGGTAAACAGTCTCAATTACTCACATTCGACCCTTTTTAAAATCAATTTTTGACTTCTAACATTGATATCCCACAGTGTTAATCCTATCAATCAAGTATTTGGCTCGTATACTTGAAACACAAGAATTTAAAATTTTCCTTTTTATCTTTCTATACCTAGAAAAATTTTTTTTCAGGACTGCCTCCATCGGATCCATCAGTTGGTTTTCTTCCCCCAAACAACGGAACAACAGGACAAGGCTTCGTCACCTTCTCCATTAGACCGAGCTCTGATGTCAAGTCTTTGGATAAAATAACTGCAAAAGCCGTCATCATATTTGACCAAAACGAACCTATAGATACGCCAGAAATATTTAATACAGTGAGCAATTTTTTCACAGCAATGGTATGAATGTATAATCGATTTATATTTCAAAGATACAAGTGCATATCTTTAAAATATTTTACAGATAGATGATACGGCACCATACATAAAGAATTTAACAATTGACAAAGACGTGTTGGATTCAGGATCACTGGTTCTAAACATGGACGTCAAGGATGATGAAAGCGGATTAGATTATGTTAACATCATGTTGCAGTCAGGTCTCTCTCTCTCTCTCTCTCTCTCTCTCTCTCTCTCTCTCTCTCTCTCTCTCTTCTTAAACTCTCTCTCATCTCATATGTACGTAATGACGTCACAAACATGACGTAAATTTCAGTTTTTAATGAATCCTATTTTAAGTAAAAGTCTATATAATGTGTAGAATGATAATATCAATGAAATATGTAAATATTAATCCTGAACAAACATGCGCTCTATATTTTTAAAAGCTAAAATTGTTGAAATTTTTTCAATTTTGTCTTCTTTCTGAAAAAAATTCTTAAATTGGACTAGTTTGTGACGTCATAAATACAAAATTTGTGAATAAACTGCTTTGAAACTATAATATGTTCTGTTAATTCATATTTCTCATACAATTTATTGAATTCAGCACATTTCATGAAATTTTCAAAATGTAACTTTTGTGGGGGCAAGTATATGCAATATACCGCATATAGTTCTTTCAAATAACACTCAAATTTTTGTAGAATCTGGTTATATTTCTATACTTGATGACGTCAAAGAACAGGCGGTTGTAGTACCCCTTGAGACAGGACAGGAACACACCCTTGTTTTACTCCCCGTTGATCGCATTGGCAATCTTCCAAATCTAGAAAAAGCAGGGTTGGAATACTCCTTTACGGTGTATATACCAAAACCTAAAGGTATAGTTTTTCTTTATTATTTGTTTTATTTTCCTGTATAATTTTGTTAAAAACAAGCACCAAAAGAGCAGATTAATCAAACTATTACGTATTTATTTATTGATTGATTGATTGTTTAATCAATTGATTGATTTATTTATTTATTTATTTATTTTTATTCAAAGATCTATTTTCCCGCTCTAGGTTGAAATCATGCTCATAATACACTTTACTCTGATTTATCACTCTGGAATTTAAAGATAATACTGGTTACATATTCAATTGCATTTCATTTCAGTAAGATGTGATGACGTAAACAATTGTTCTGGCAATGGACAGTGCCTAAGAATAAACTACTGTCTGTGTACCAGCGGGTTTTATGGAACGGATTGTAGTAGGAGTATGTAATTATAATGCATTTTGATTTCATTAACACTTTCCAATAAAACTTTGGAGGTACTAATGCAGTTTTTTTTTCTTTTAAATTTTCTAGCTACGCCACCTTTGGATCCCCCTATCCTCGATGTTTTCGTGGGTGAACAGAACATCTCAGTACCAATACATCTCATGTCATCAACAGTTTCCAGCGATAAAGATGCCCATATGATCATTAAATGCAGTGGATTTCCAGATCATTCATACTTTTCCGCTGGAAGTGTCATCAGGGATACTTTGTATCTTGCAGCTGGTGACTTCGGAGATGTGGTGTACATCCCACCAGATAATTACAACAACAGCTTCATTTTAGATATAACAGCACTTGTTTTCATCGAAAGCACTTCAGAATTTATAGAAAAGAAAACAAGCAAAACCATAAAAATAAGGGATGCTGTTAATGACGATGAACGACAGCAATACATCAGGACTTACATAAGTGTGTATCTTACGTAATTTAAAACAAAACACTTTAAATTTAAATAGATTTACACTAATCTTCCGTAAAAATCAATTTAACGAAGTATACAAGCTCTGTAAATATTCTTGGTTATTTCTATAAGATATCGCATAATTAAGAAATAGTTATCATTCATTCTCCAAGTCCAGTTAAACAATACAAATTGAGAGCAGAGAATACATGGACCTCTGAAAACAGATTTGAGATTAGAGGCCTTGAGGGAGTGAGCATCCCCTGAAGGCCGAACACATCCGTGTGCTCTTTTTCGTGACCCGGTTGATACAGAAATTCGTAGATAATTCAGTGTGAATACTCAGTAATTGCTAAGGAGTTTTTATGAAAAATTTCAGCCAACATTTGACTTAGCGATATATTTTAGTTGAAAACATCGTCCATCGAATGTGCGAAATTGTGACTTTAAACATCTTTATATCCTTGTACCGTCAACTAGTTTTTAAATAGCCAAGAAATTGATTGTACGCTGAACATGATTGTTTGTCATCTTATTATCTTGGAGGCATAAACCTAATAAATTGCCAGTGTTAATGATATAGATAAAAGAATACCTTTATATCCTTAATAAATGCCACTTTACTGTATTATGATTTTCTTCTGAAAGATTGATTTTGATTTTTTTTTTTGTTGGGGGGGGGAATAGCAGTAGATGGAGAAATTCGTTTAGAAACTTTTTTGTAAAATTTATTTGTGTTACTAATGTTTATCATCGTATTTTAGGTTTTCTGAAGATTTTTCACCCAAAAATTTACTTTTCCGACAGCTAAATATATCAAAAAGAGTAAACTAGAATATTCAAAAATGTTTAATTATGCATATTTGAATTTGCTTTCTAATTACTTTCATTTCAAGGAACGACAAAACCACCACCAACAAGTACAATTGAAATGTTTACCAGAATCATGTCATCAAGTACGACAACTCAAAACTTCCCGTCTCGAAATCCATCAATGATATTTTCAACACCAGCTGTGTCAAAATCAACCTTAGGTATATCCTCAGCAATTTCGTCTATCAAACCTAACATGTCTAGCAGCACTATTCCTCCATTTACAACAGAATCATCAAACAAAACTGATGTTGAAGTATCGGCTGATTCTCATTCGTCTCCTGTTAAGCAAGCAGTGATCGCGGGAATAGCTTCCTCTTTTGGAGTCTTGTTGATCATTACTGTACTGACAGTGTTCATTTGTGCAAGAAGGAAAAATAGGAATAAGAACAAACACCCGCACCAGGAAAGGAGTAAGAAATATACTTTTGTTTTAATTCGAATTCTATATAAGGTGAAAGTGTATATATTTTATAAAGAGAAATAATGTTTGAAAAATGCAGATCCAACTGTTTACGTTGATTTATGAATATCCTGATTCAACTTATTTAATATATAGCTGATTTATTAATCGATTATGATTTGATTCTAATATTATGTATCGTGAAGATGTGTCCTTTTTATAGGGGAAACACGGTGGACGGCGGGGGAATACGACAATAGCGCTTTCGAAGACAAGAACGACGAAACAGTGATGTAGTAGAGAGAGTGTGTTTCGATAACTTATGTTATGATATGAGCAAGTGTAAAAATACATAATAACGAGAATTTTTGTAAATATTTTATACGAAGTATTACTATTCCAGCATATTCCTGTAATACTTAACATATATTAACATACAAATCATATGTGTCATCCAAGTAGACAATGTACTCTATGTAAATTTCAAATATTAGGAATAAGATAAGATGTTGTCTAGTAAAATATATACATGTATCATATAACCATTTATTAGTAATTTGTGTATCTAAAATTTTTAATAATAAAAACATATTAAAAATGGATATCTCTTTGATGCGCATCTATTTTGTTAAATACTTGATGAGATTTTCCTTCCTCATGATATATTAGTAGAGTGATTGTCTGCCGTGAAAATTTCAAATGTACTCATTTTATTTATAAAATTAATGAGGAATTTTCCACCTATCTTGATTTATAACAGGTTGATAAAAAAAAACTCACGGAATGGGAGGGGGCACTTAAATAATCTTGGGCCCGTTTTTATAAAAGAATCTAATTGCGACTAAGAGCAAAAACTTCAGATGACTGTAAAATTTTGCAGAATTTAATAATTTTCTTTGAAATTATTTATGTAAAAATAAAAATATCAACATTCCTTTTAAGAAGTTTAAAATAATTTTAGTAATATAATAATTTAATAAAATGAAGATAATTAAAAAGTAATATGAAGAATTAGATTTGGTCTTAAGTCACAAGCCCTTTTGTAAATTTGTTATTGTAGAGCAGTGGTTTGTACTTAACATTATATACACGAAGAGCCTGATTTGTTTCAATCATCAGTTAAGCATTGTACTTTCAGAATGGGTAAATGTTAAATATGAAGATAACGAGCCGTGATCAATCTCATAAACCCAGGAAACAAAACAAATCCTGAACAGGTAAACACCGGAAACACTAGAGGTGGGACCAGGTGCCTAGGAGGAGTAAGCATCCTCTAACCCGCCATATCCCTATGCATTGATCAGGTATATCCAGTACTCCGTAGTTAAAATAATATCAAATGACCTTCAGTATCAAAAATGTTAGAAGAAAAAGAAAACCCAATAATAGGTCATCATCACGACCGTGGAAATTTCTTATTTTAAACGGGGCTTTTAAAGTCCTTGTAACATCAATTTATTTGTCAGTAGTTTGCCTCGGTTTAAAAACTCATAATCAGAACATACTCTTACGTATCGAAATTAGTTGGGAGCCAAAAACGCCAAACAAGTGCATGGTGTTGAAATATTACTACATAAATTAGGGAAGCTTACGATAGAAAAGCTGGTCCCGTTTGTCATAGAGTAACCTGTAAGTTATTATAGTTTGTCATTATCTAGTCAGTAAAGCATCCAAATATGAAGAAAAAAAAATGTTTACAATTATTAATGTTCATCAAGTTCATTGGGATATCGAGTTGAAATATAAATTAATAACTATTTTTTACTTGATATGAAGTCGTCATTTTACATGTATCTAAAGTTGAGTTGAAGGTCGAGACAATATATATATATTTTTTTAGTAATTTCTGTTATATATACATGGTTATATATAAAAAGAGGTCGACTATAAATGTTTACAATTATTAATATTCATCAGATTTAAATACAAGATTGTGGGAAGGTGTGGTCTCCATAGACTATAAGTTGTCAATGAGAATCTCCATCATCTTCATTATCTCAACCTCAAAATAATTTAAATTCAAGACAGTTTTACTTAATCAAATAATAAATAATTATTTATAAAGAAAATTGAAAATTGTTGTAATATTAGCATTTTTTACAGATGTCCTATGAAAAAATAAATGTTTTCCGGAACTTTTTTTGAAAGATTTGCTTGATTTTGAATAATGAAGATGTATACTTCAAAATATCAATTTATACGATTTTAATTTTTTTTTTTTTAAATAATAGGACATATTTTTTTAACCTTTGCTTTCAAATTCCTATCTTTCTTTTGTCATTATTGTTTTTTTTTTTTCATATTAAACTTTACCAGTCTATTTTCAATCGAGATCGGCATTCATTATTCCCCGAAAAGTGAAAGTAGGTTTTGCGTAGAAAAAAATGGGTATATGTTTACCGTGTTTAGGAGGACAGGCTGATGATTATGACCAACCAAGTCCGGTAAGTTTCGATTGTAAAAATTATTAAGCCAACAGATTACTTTAAATTCACTGTAACTTGATATTTAGCACAGTAGTAGAAATTGACAATGCCTGAACATTGAACAGGTCCAGTACAATCACTAGTCTAGATTTAGCTACATAGATAGAATTACCTACGTACATGTAGCTTTCTTTACCTACTTCAAGTAGCTTTATTTAGCTATTTCAATGCAACTTTTCAAAGTTTTTCTTAGTATTAAAAAGAGACAAAAAATCGCAATTAAATGGCTATTAATATTTATTCTAGGGAGGTTTAAAAAAAACAATCCAAAGCAGAGATAATTTATACATTACTGCGTTTGGACAATTTAGAGCAAAACATGCAATTCCATTGTTTGGTTAACTGTCCTCTCTCATGCATGTGGTGAGGCATGGCTGAGTATGATTAATTCACATTGTGCTGAATAATGACCGACCTATTATTGTATTAACCGGAACTGGACTTCTTTGTCATTTCTTACTGTCGGAACACTTCTAGTATACCGGTACCAATTAATATGGCGCTAAATTAGGTGCCGCCGAAGGCGGTGTAGAATATATAGACGATCGCGTGAGCGATCGACAAAATCAAAAAAGAAGCCACAAATTGCAAGTTTGACCCCAAATTCGTGTTCCTCGTGAAAAATTGGGTTTAAAAAACTGGTTTTTAAACACAGTTTTTTAAATGAGAAGTAAAAGATTTCGTAAAATAACGTACTTGTCTAGGAAGTAAATTTTTGTATTGTGCGTTGTATTAGGAAGGTAGTTTTCCACCAATTATTTCTGCTATATTTTCTTAAACTTGGTAAGACAAAGAGGGAAAATCACCGAATCGACCTCCAATATGGCGGCCAACGGGAGGTAACTTTCGCTAAAAGTAGGCCTATCGAAAACTATCTATCAATAAGAAAGCATAAAATAACGTCTCCTCTTACGACACGTTTTTATACAGATTTGTTTGTGTTAATATTTTACATGAGATGCGTCAACGTAATGACAAAATGCCTGAAGGATTTTCAAAGTGCAATTTTTAAAATTTTTTGATTTTTGTACGAAATACAGGGATCTAACAAATATTAGCTTATTACTAGTCGTCAGTGGATTGAATTGTGCATCATTATCGATTTGAAAGGAATTCTGAATATTTGGACATGATTAGGAGGTCAGGATATCGAGCTGCAGCTAACGGTAAGTCGCTTTTACAATAACTTGCCTAAACTCAGCGCTGACAATAGAGTTGATTTAGCCGAACTTTCATTTCTTAAACTTATTAAATAATTTCCTTTGTAAAGCAAAAATTTCATGAACTAAACCAAAGTGTAATCTGATATTTTATCCACGACCCTTTATACCTGATTCATGCAAGTTTTTGGTCACAAATGGCACTCATAGTGTGTTTTGTATAAAGCAAAAATTACATAAATTAGCCAAAAGTCAGAAAGATTACAGAGTGGATTTATAAAACAACCCAAATTTTAAAAACTATATAACCTAACCCTAATCACTCGATCGGATGCGTTTTGTTGAAGCTAGTGGGAAATTGCTGTTTGTTTACATTCTGCATAGCAACGGCAAGGGAAATAACTGTTCATGCGCAATCGCGTGATTCTGGGGACCGGCATACTAGAAACTTCCCCTTACTGTCATACATAGGGCCAAAACTTTCAGAATTTTGATTGCAATTGCGCAGAAAAAAGACATTTCTTCAAGAGTGATTTTTTCATGAATTGTTTTCAGATGAGTTCAAAGTTGAAAATGATCACTGCATCAAAATTATATTTTCTGCACACCCTGAGAAAAAGGCTTTTTTATAAAAGTAAATTGATTTGGTAGCTAAATAAAGCTACCTCAGGTAGGTAAATAAAGCTAACTAAAGTAGGTAAATCAAGCTACGTAGCTAAATCTAGTCATTGTACCTGACCTGTTGAACTCTCTGTTGGATGTATTTTGTAAATTGGGATGACAGTAACCATATACGTTTCTTTTGTGACATTATAAACTTTTCCTCGTTTTATAAAATTAAAAAATTTGGCTCTTCAAGCTTTTATTTTAATTACTTTATACTGCATCGAACAGAGTCAACAGACATATTTGAATGCTAGATGTACAGTATTCTCTATAGAGAAGTGGGCAATCTTTCGCCCCTATCCACTTCTCTTCACAAGCCTTCATGTTTTGATTATAAAAAAGCCGTGTTAAATGTAGAATCGGTGACGGCCAACATTTAAACAAACATTTTATCTTAAATATGTCTGATTTTAAGTAACAGTTGTGTAAAGTTAACAATATCAACATAAATAAATACAACTGTCACAAGAAAACCAACCTTTAGGAGTTGTTAATCCATTTTCTCAAGTTCTCCACCCCGGATTTAAATTTTGAGGTAGAAGGACACTCTGAGCTCCACAGGTGGCTCATGCCTTGCACACTGAATGGACATAACAAGGTCAGCTGAGGATTGACAATTGTGATAGCAAAGCATTAATAGTTTGAATCCTGGAATGAGAAATTGTAAACATGGATCATAAAAGATATTTAAAGTTTGGTTTTCTTGTGACAGTTGAGTTTATTGTCCTCCGCAAAAGCGAGGGGACATTAAATCTCATTCGTCTGTCCGTCAGTCTGTCATTTTGTCAGTCTGTCCGTCTGTCTGTCCGTCACAAAAACTTTAACCTTGCCCATAACTTTTGATTTATTGGAGCTATGACTTTCATATCTCATATGTGTATTCCTTGTGAGAAGACCTTTCTTTGGGTACCATCAAATTTAATGTTTTGACCTTGACCTTAGAGTTTGACCCACTTTAACACAAAAAATACAAACTCTTACTTTGAACATATCTTTTGAATGGTAGAAACTAGGACTTTCATATTTCAGATTTGCATTTATTGTGTCAAGAACATTCATTGAATACCAACAATTTTGACCTTTTAACCTTTACCTTAGAGATTTCTGTACTTATGAAAAAACTTTATATTGGCCATAACTTTTGAACGGAAAGGGCTAGGGCTTCTGTACTTCACACATGTAATCCTTGTGAGAAGACCTTTCATTGGATACCAATAACTTTGACCCTTTGACCTTGACCATGGAGATTGACTTAATTTTCAAAAACTTTGACCATGGCCAAAATTTTTGAACGGTAGATACTAGGACTTTATATTTTTCAATATGTATTTTTTGGTCGCAAGACCTTTCATTAGATATTAACAACTTTGACTTTTTGACTTTTCCACTTCTCCAAAGAAAACAGGTATAATCATCAGATCATGGTAAACATGGGAAAATTGCAAAAAAATTATCAAGATGTATTTCGCTATGTTCATAATCAATAATTTTTTTTTAAAACAATAGGAAACCAGGAGGAGACAGATGGCTGAAGCAGCAGAAAAGAGGAAGAGAGAGGACGAAGGGAGGGGTGTTAAAGACCCTGAGGCGTTAAAACGTAAACAGCAGAAAAGGGAGGAGATAGAAAAGAAGGCGGAGCAGTCAGGAGGGGGAGGAGTGGAGGCGGGGCTAAGGGTAATGATTGATAATTATTGTTGCATAAATTATTCAGATTTAATATATAATGAATAATTGACATATAAACTTTATTGTTGTTGATATTTTTTCAATCAATTAATATTAAGAAGCTCAATAAAAAAAACAAATATGATTTTTTTATATTGGACTAAATTTTTCCAAAGTGAACTTATTCATTGGTATAATACATCTACTTTATTTGCAAAAATGTTTTAGAAACAAACATTTCATTTGATGTATGTATTTTACAGTGGCAAGTAAGCTAAGAGAAAAAGAACTTCTTAAAAGAGGCAGCATTCTCAGCAGAATTGGTAATTGGAAGAGAGAAATTAAGTTGAACAAATGTGGACTGTCATACTTTTAGTCAGTCTATCATGAAGCCAGGTAGACAATTAACAAAGTTAATATTTTAAAAAGAACCCTTTTTCAATGTGGCCTAACGTAATGTCAAGAAAAAAATTGCTTGTATATGTGCTTTATTTATACTACAACCAATATGGTTAGGAGATACATGTATTGATTACTAGTATACATATGTGATGGATATTAATGTGATTGAAATTTTTTATGTATGAAGTTTATTTGTTATTTTAAGTTTATATGTAAAATATTAAAATATTTACAATTTTATAAAACATTTTTTGTTATATGAGTTGTTAAGATACTAAGTTAAATTCTAAATCCCTTATCAGATATATTTGTATTCTTCAATATTTTAATTCAAAGAGAGTCATATCAGAGATTTCAGGAATTTTCCAGCAAGTCCAGCACAATCATCTCTTGATTTAATTATATGACTGAAAATAGCTATATAGCTTTATTAAGTTCAAAATAGCTGGATAAAGCTATTTGAGTATTTTATTATATGCAGTTTTGCTGGAAAATGTGTCAGACTTGTAGGGATTTACACAGTTCATGCATGCATGCGCAGCAAATGATATTGCATGGAAGATCATAATAATATCAGTGATTAAGTCCCACATACATGTACAAATAAATTACATAGAATACCTTATTCAAACTTTGCTTTATAGTAAATATTGCTTTATTTCCTCCATCTTGTGTGAATTAATGACTTTTCAAGCTTTTGCTTTGAATTCATTATTAGCTCACCTGAGACGAAGACTCATGTGAGCTTTTCTAATCACATTTTGTCCGGCATCTGTGTGTCTCTCCATCTATCTGTCTGTAAACTTTTCACATTTTCGACTTTTTAAGAACCACTGGGCCAATTTCAACCAAACATGCCACAAATCATCCTTGGGTGAAGGAGATTCAAGTTTGATAAAATGAGGGACACCTTCATTCAAGGGGAGATAACTGGGAATTAATAAAAATTCGGTGGTATGTTTTAAAAATCCTCAGGTAGTGTAGATTCAAATTTGTTCAAATCATGACCCCCATTAGTAGGGCGGGTCCACAATGGCCGACCAAAGTTTTACATAAAAAAAATTGGAAAATTCTTTAAAAATCTTCTTCTCAAGGATAGCAAAGCCATAATTGATCATATTTATATGGAAGCAGCCTCAGGTAGTGTAGATTCAAGTTTGTTCAATTCATGACCACTGGGGGTAGGGCGGGGCCACATTGGCCAACCGAAGTTTTATATAGAAATATATAGGAAAAATTCTTTAAAAATCTTCTGTTTACGTGCGGGACCCGAGTGATCGAATTGGGATCGTACTTGGAATGTCCAAGTCTTATGACAACAAGTATAAATGCAAGATATACAAAACAACAAATTCAGTACAGTATAATTTGTCCAATCCGGCTACCGCCGGTTCCATAAAATTTGGCCGGAATAGACAGAATCCGGAGTGCAGGAAAAATGCAGGAAAATATAAATTTCGAAAATTTTCGTTGTTTATTTACAAGTACATCATATACATATATATTATTAATAAAATTAAATGATGAAATCAATTACTATTTTGGAGTGTAGAAATTTATTTTCTTATTTGTTCACGAAGTAAAGTTCCGAAGTTTGAAAGTCGGGTGAAATGTTACCTCAATCAAAATATACAGGCATGCATAATATAGGCCTACTATGTATCAAGCGGACCGGGTTTCGCTTGTCAAAGACCTCATTCAATGTATTAACAGTAATGCACAATTATTTACGATATGCTAATTATTAGATTGAACTTTTAATTTTATGTAGCTATTCCAGTTGACGCCATTTTACACTAAGGACGACAACTCCCGCTGACTACCTGACAGCCATATTGGATGAGATTGTGGGTCAGTGCAGACGCGTAAGTAATGATTTATCTGTAAGTGATAATTACAACCCTGTCATCTCGATCTTAAATAATTTTCCGTTTTTTAATGACAAAAAATGCATAGACAGTTGTTAAATTGTTTAGAATTTGGTTGATACAGGTATTTTTAAGAATTCAATTGAAATGCAAGTTGAAAGAAGTGTAATTGGGGTGTATTTCACTATTTCATATAATTGTGGTATGTGATTGCGGTGATTTTTTTATGTAAAGCGATACATTATACATTTATTTTGATACTAGCATATTAAAAAAGGCGCAAACTTGTTGCGCTTTTTTGGTTAGAATAAAAAACGTAAACTTCGATGCTTGCTCAGTATATTATTACCTCCCTTCCATTATAGTCTGTTTTTTTTAAAAGAATATTTCTGGTTTAAGATACATTTAAGTAATGCCTTGAAAAATTAATTTGATTTATTTTATTAAGGTTCACATATCTGTGATCTGTGAAAGTGGCACAATACCATTACTCTGAAAGAATTTTCCATACAAGGTAAATATTATCACAATACCATACTTTCTATTATTCTCTTTAGATAAGTGGACAGGCTTTGCCCTACATCCACTTTCCTTCACAAACCCTCAAGTCTTCCAGATTCAATAAATGAAGACCTGTGAAGAAAAAAAGGATGTAGGCGAAGCATGTCCACTTCTCTAAAGAGAATAAATTTCTATGTGTGCTTTTAATGTTTGTGTCGTCATGCTTTTTGTGCTGTTGCAAATGTATGTGTAAAGCTTATCAATGTATTGTCATTATGTTCACTTCATACAGCATATATATGGTAAAATTCTAATTAACTGCACATTCATATGCACCATGTCTCTAACAAATGAGAATGTAAGTGAAATTTTCATAAAAAATGAAGGCAATGTTGCAAATACATGCAAGGCTATATGTGACTGCCTTCAGTTGGATTCAGCTTCAATAGTAAAGTCAAGTTTGTTCTTGAAAGTCCAAAAAATATTCAAAGAACTTCAAAGACTCAAGAAATACAATAATAAGGAAAAATATAACATATTTGGAAACAAATTATTCACATTACCAGCTAGTAAAAAAAATATTCAATCAACATCGAGTTCTTCAGTGTCCATATCTACTACTTCTGTGTCAACGTTGACTTCTTCTGTGTCAACGTTGACTTCTTCTGTGTGCACATCGACTTCTTCTGTGTCAACATCAACTTCTTCTGTGTCAACATCAACTTCTTCTGTGTCAACGTCGACTTATTCTGTGCCAACATCAACTTCTTCTGTGTCAACGTCGACTTATTCTGTGCCAACATCAACTTCTTCTTTGTCAACGTCGACTTATTCTGTGCCAACATCGACTTCTTCCATGTCAACGTCGACTTATTCTGTGTCAACATCGACTTCTTCTGCGGCCTCATCAACTTTGGCATCCTCATCAACCTTTGTGGCCTCATCGACTTCTTCATCAACAGATCTTTTACAGGATATTGAAAAAAGCATCAGAATTCAACATCTTGAAAGAGAAAACCATAAATTGAGAGAAAAACTAAGGAACATTAATGTTAAATCAATGAACCAGAAACTTAAAAGAAAATCTGAGAAAGTTGTACATTTACAAGAAAAGGTAAATGAATTTGAAAAAAAAGAAACTGAAAAGAAATATAGTAGAGTTGAAAAGGGTGTGCAGTGCAACGTTTTAAAGTCATATATTGAAGACTTGAAAAAAGAAATTGATGCATTGAATGCAGAAAGAGATGAAAATGATGATATGAAAGAATCATCAGAATTTGTACATATTGAGAAAAATGTAGATTTTAGAGAAAAATCAAAGGGCAGACCTTTCAATTTTAAGTTAAGAAAGTTATACTATTTTTTTATCAGTAATAATATTGGTGTGCAGCATATTTCTCCTGTTGTTGAAGCTGTTTTAAATATTTTTGATATTCATGTAAAAAATTTACCAAGTAAGAGCACAACAGCAGTTTTATCTAGTGAAATGGGTGTTTTATCTAGAAATCATGTTAAAGAAGAGCTTTTAAATAGTAAAAACATTACAATGCACAGAGATGCCACCACTAAAAAGGGAAAACATTTTTATGGTTTGCAATTTAATACTGGAAATCAATTTTTAACTGCTGGAATCAGAGAAGTGCCAGATGGCAAGGGTGAAACATATGTAAATAGTACGAAAGAAATGTTGTCTGATATTTCAGAGAAAGAAAGCGATAAAAAAAGTATTTTAGAATCTGTATCTTGTTTTATGACTGATAGAAGTTCCACGGAACAGAAAGTAAATTTTATTTTATCTAGTGAAATTTCTCACGATGTTCATTCTTTTAAATGTTCAGTGCACCCTCTTTTACAATTTTCAGATGTTTGTTTACAAGAGTTTTATAATATTGAAAAAGAATTAAATATTCATTTTGATGGACATTCCAGTACACCTAAAGATCCTTATGTCATGTTTATTTTAAGAAGTGTTTCAAAATTTTTTTTTCAAGACGGAGTAGGTGATCCGAAATTTAGTCGAGTGTTTTTGAAAAGTCACGGAACAGACAAACTCCCTGTGATGAATGTAAGAGGAAATCGTTTTAATTTGTGTTTTTATAATGCTGCTGGTACATTTTTTATGCATCAACTTCTTTTACAATATCTTTTATCCTCGAGGAGTTCTTTTAATGTTGTTTTGAATGCAATTGTTACATCATTGCAAAGCAAAGTATTTTTAACAATTTTGAGAGCTCTTGGTTTTATATGTAAATTTATTACTGAGCCATACTGGCAGAAAACTTTAGAGTTATGGAATATTACAAGTATAAACACTGTGTATCAAAGACTTTTATATGTTTTAAATGTTATTCATAAAAACCCTTCAGCATTATTAAAAAGGGAAATCAAACTGTTTGAAGGTCCAGATTTTTATGACCCTGTGTCAGATTTTTTATGTTCTATGTCGTTAAATGATGACCTTACATGTGTTTTTATTAAGAGGTGCATTAGTGTTTTAATTGACAAGGCAAAGAAGTTGTTTGCAGATTTTTTAGAAGGAGGAAAATATTTTAATTCATGTTCAACAGAATTTTTTAAAGAATGTTCATCATGTTCGACAAATAATATAACCATTGAACGGTTAATGGGTCAGTTAGATTTTAAACTTAAGTATGCTGCCACCTCATCTGTAAATACAATTGAGAGTATTTTAATGTATAATAATAATAAAACAAAAAAATGGTTAGAAAAAAAAAGTGAAAATGAACAGAGGAACATTGTAAATACAGCTAGAAAAGACAGTAGAGCTTTTTTAATTGAAAGTAAGAGAAGGAAAGAAGAATTATTTAACAAACATTTGCAGACTATAAAAGAAAAAGAAGAGGAGAACAAGAAGAAGAAAGAAAGAAAAAATGATGCCATCGACAAAGCGTTAGACGATATTCACAGACATGGATTATGGGCTTCAGAGACTGAAATTAATGAAAAATTGTGCATTTTAAAGACAAAGAAGGAAAAAATGACAGCCTTAAAAACTCAGATTAATATTTATAAGAAAGTTTTTAAAGTAGAACAAGAATTTAGACATTTATTGTGTTTTAGCAAAAAAGGAAAAGTATTTGACGAGAAACAATTGAAAGAAAATTTGATTACACTACTGAAAAAAAGAAAGGAATATCAAGAAAGTATTGCATGTAACACCAACCCGAGGGACTTTGTATCCAGACAAATATTACACACATGGACAGATAATGGAGAGGACATTGAATGGGAGGGACAGATTTTAAGCTACAGCAATGGGGTGTTTAAAGTAAAGTCATTTTAAAAAGAGATATATTATTAATTTCACTGTTTAACATTCACTAAATAATACTGCTCTATTTTAATTACAAAAGAGGTATGTAACAATATGAACGTACCAGAATCTTATCATTTTTAATAACTTTCATACATTTCATTTATTGTACATATCTTTTAAACTTTTATTACAGGCAATTCAATTTCATTTTCAAAAATTGATGTAATGAATACTTTAAAGTGATAGTCTTTTAAGTTTCCACATAATAATTGATGAAAAACTTCAAGTTACATACCTAGCACTCTGAATATTTATGGTTTCAGGCTTTAATTATTTTTATGCCCTCTTCCATGAAGGAAGGGTATATTGCTTTGCAGGTTTTTGTTGGCCGGCCTGTCTGTCTGTCTGTCCACCAACAGTTTCCATTAATTTTCTTTGCAGAGTTTATAAGTTCAGAAATGACTTTGAAATATTCCGTTTGTTGGCCATTGTCGCAAACCACTGCCAAAATGTATGATCCTCTCCCATTCTGGCTGTGGTTGAACGAGGAGAGAATTCTTTGTAGCTCATTAAAATATTAACCAATGCAAGTAAAGCATAGTTGGATAATGAACTTTATCGCGACCTTTCAATATCCAATCACAGTTCACAAAATATTCTTTGTATACTGTTGATGTCAATGTTGTGATGTAAACAAAACTTCCCACTAATTGAATATGACGTCACAATAGAGAGACATAAATATTTAAGATTACAACACTTTTTGTGCCCAAGAAGCAATGGGTAGGAGAGAGCTTTATGCGGACTCTAGACTGTGGCTCGAGATGATGGTTGTTGGAGTGGGGAAATAAGTGCTTCACAAAACACATCTTGTTTAATTAATTAACATTATGAAGTAAATGTTTAAAAACCCATGGAATCAAATGGTTTTCTTATAATGTATTTATATTGATTAAAGACAGATTTATTTGCCATATCATTTTCATAGAAATGGGTTTATAAACAAGGAATTTATTGCATGATGTAATGATCTTAGCAGGGTTTTGTAATGGTGCATATTTACACCAATACTTTTATGAAAGCATGTCACAGCATGCATGCAAAATTTATATATTTATTTCCAATCTTACAGAAAAACTCATTTACTATTGCCAAAAATACTGCAAATTCTGTACAATGCAAAATTTAGTTTTGGTTCCCCAGCTATATAAATGATATTAATTTTGGAAATGCATAAATTAAAAAAAAAAAAGAAATAGCAAACTATGGTAATCAATATTGCTGAGTTTTACTGTATTTATAATGATAAAATTGTGTAACAAAACTTATTGTTCATAGGTCATTAAAAAATAACTATGCATAAAGTACAACACCATATTATGAACAGTTGTTTCTGTCTTGTATGTTTTTGTCTTTGTGAAATATAACCATGTATTTATGTTATTTAATGATGTAAATGAAATTTTATTTGAAAGCAAAGTAAAAACATCAGGAATAAGACATAAATGAGTTTCAGCTATTATTATGATTGCATCATTCAGGGTTACTATAAACCATTCAAGTGAGTATAAATATATATACTTATATCTTTATATATATTTATTTCAGGTTCTGTACTGGAATGATACCGAGAAGACGGACAGCAGCATATTTGAGCTAACAGAAAGAGAAATCAATACAGACATCAAAGAAGGGAATTTATTTTTCAAAGGTATGTTTAAAAAAAATTCTAATATAATTTAAATTAAACATTGAGCTGATTTAGAAAAAATATTGGTTTCTACTTAACAATGAAAATTCCTATTTTAGACACAGGAGCAAAATTGGATCACAGTTATAGCACATTTTGAAGCAGACTATAAGGTATGCCTTACAGAGTTACCTTCAAAATGTTATTAAATTTTATTGGAGTTATTCCTCTTTGGTAACATTAGTGGTGTAATTTTATCTATATATGGATCTAATTTACATATTAATTAGCAAACAACCAATGAAAATCTATTTATTTATAACTAAGTTACACACATACAAATAATATTTTTGTGCTTTAGAATTAAAAAACTCTTTTTTAATTTTTAGGTGGAATAGCTATTTTATGTAAAAAAAATTACGTCTTCCTCAACAGTGTTATGGCGCCATTTTGAAATGCGTTCGATTTTCGATCCCGATTTATATTTTGATTTTTAAATCGCACGTACATATATTTTTGTGTTTATGTTATAATGTGGTAAAAGGAGTTAAAACAAAGTTAATTTTTTTAAATTGTAATTTAATCATATAATATATTTTTCAAGTGGACTGTGTAACCGCCGCATTTAACCGAGTTCGTCTCATGGCACTAATAATCATGCTTATGTAAACACAGATTATCACATTCCCCACGAAAGGTGTAAATTGCTTTGAAGTAACCCAGGTGTGGCCGGATTAGAGGAAATAATTACCGTTAATTATGATCAGTTGGGACCAGTATGGCCGTTCGGAATACAGAATAGACAGTATCCGGACTACACAGAATTTTTTAAAATGAATTTGTTAAAGAAGTGCATGGGACTAAAATTTACGGACGGAATGGACAAAAGTCCGGAGTACTCAGAGTCCGGATTAGACAAATTTTACTGTATATACAAATATAGGGTACACTTGCCTAGTTTTAATTAAGTTTAAGCAATATATACAAATATAAAGGACACTTGTCTAGTGTATGATTAAAAAATAAACAGAATCCTGCCACTTGGCTATATCAACGCCACTTGGTTATAGTATACGAACGACTGATTACCCACTTGACTTGGCTAATCCCCAAAGCCACTTGTCTATACCGGCCACTTGGCAATAGGGCCACAATGTATTCCTATCCACTTGGCTAAGCAGGCGCCACTTGGTCACCTCTGAAACCTTTTCGCTTTCACAAATGTCACTTGGCTGTACACGCCTACTGCCTACACAGGGTTTACCCGATTTATGCTATAAGTATCCCATCGTACTAGTAGACTACTTTGGCTATACTTTAAACTTTCAATTCTCGTCTGCTTCTCAGTCAGAGATTCGTCTTCATCAACTGAATACAAGTGTACAGAGACGTAATCCACTGGCCATTTGCCTTCTTATCTAATCTTAACAGTAATACTTTTCAGTGGCTAATTATGCAGGAATACATTTCCGTAAATGCTGCATTTCATTTCCGGAAATATGCATAACATTTCCGACATTTTTTGTTTTCATTTCCGACCTAATTTTCTTTTCATTTTCGGAATTTACCATGCGACAATTCAATGTTTTCTAAATATAAATAAAAGAAAATGAAATTTAAAAGTATAAATTATACCCCCAAAAATCTATACATATATGCATACATGTAGCACTAAGTCTAGGTAAAAGTGTTCAATGAGCATAAAACTTTTTCACCACATTTAATGTGCACTAAATTAAATGTCAGTGACAACACCATACTTACATATGTATGCCCTAGTCACTGATAGATATACCAAATTGGATTTCAACGATTTAATTATGATTTAATCCTTTAAATTTTCATAAGTAAAGTTATCAAATCTGTTAATATATAGGTACTACATAGTATTTGAAAAATGTCGGAAATGAAAACAAAAAATGTAGGAAATGAAAACTAAAAAATGTCGGAAATGAAAAATTGATAATTATCAAAAATTCCGGAAATGAATTGCAGCCTCCGTAAATGTCCGAGCATACTTTGCTCATCCTAACCCAAGTTTTGTTTTTGTTGTATTTTTATCTATATAATATCCTTTGTTGTAGAGTCATTTAATTAAATAACCCGTTAACTACATTATTTATAATTATTTTTTTTATTAAAGCATTGTAACAAAAAAGGGAGAAAACTCTAAACCGTTTCATAACAATAAACCGTTGAATAACAAAGCCATAATTGATCATTGTTATATGGAAGAATCCTCAGGTAGTGTAGATTCTAGTTTGTTCAAATCATGACCCCCGGTGGTAGGGCGGGGCCACAATGGACAAACAAAGTTTTACATAGAAATATATAGGAAAATTCTTTCAAAATCTCAAGAATAGCAAAAAACCAGAATTGATCCCATTTATTTGGAAGCATCCTCAGGTAGTGTTTCTATAGAGACCAACACCTCCGACTCTCTGACCTTGGCCCTGGAATTTGACCTACCTTTCCAAAATTTACCCTTGGTCCTTTTGAACAGGTGGTGCTGGGCTTTAATATTTCACAACTGTATTTCTTGTGTGAAGACTTTATACTTTGTGAGCCAAAATAAATAATTTGCATCAAAGAAAAGCGTAATATTTCTATCTTGCACAAACACATCTTTATTTTATTATTTTGTTTATTGAAATAAGTATCTTTTGCTCAATATGTACATGATATTAATAAAGATCAATTGCCATGAGGTATTGTATTTATGAAACCAACAATGAAAAAAATATATTTAAAAATGAAAAGAATAATATCAAAGTTTGAATTATACATCAAAGCAAACTGGATCCGTTATCAGAAACTTTACGGATTGAGTTTCCTCCTTACTTTGTGCATATAGCACAGGTAATTTCTCTTCCATGTACGTATGGCGGACATTGAAGCGAATGCCCACAATGTGCTTCTACCGGGTAGAAGTATTGACCTCCCTTCGAAACAGGACCCGTCTTGGACTTCTCTGGTTGTTCATCAACGCATGCGTACTCCGTCGCTGACGCATGGGTGAATTTGTCAGCCATGAGATAGCCAGCGTACTCCAGATGCCAGTCTTTGTAACATTTATTCCTGCCTGGAATTCTTAAAACTGAGCTTCGCTTGGTGCTCCGACAAACAGCGCATGGGACGCCATGTCCTCGTAGTTTGCTGTCAAATGGAGTCCCACTAATGTTTATACTATTACCGGCATACTCTACACCATGTAAATTCTGATTGTCGTTCTTCATGACGTCATTATACTTGCCCCATAAAGGATCGTAAGGCAAACAGATGTAGTTGACCGACCCACCTGTATGTGTTTCATAACTACTCCCTGTAAAACCTACATGTAACAAAAAAGTTTACGCATTAAATTTATTAATAATCATTGCCTAAATTTCAACTCCCTTATGATCAATGAATACAAAATTTATTAATTTAGTTTTTAAAATACTAATCTAATCTTGATATCATAGACATCTGTTTCTTCTATATTAGTCATTAGAAAAATTACTTCGTTAAAAACCTTTCTGATTGTACGCTCTTACAAAGATACTGGAGTACCTCATTCATCTAATCTTTGGAGACCAAGTGTTCCGATGAGCACTAATTGTGCTCCTTCATTCATTTATCTGACATGTTTTTGTACGCATATGATGCAGAATTAATTTTTAAAAACTCCAACATTAGAAGAGAAAGACACTTGCTGTAGCCTTCAATTCGATATTTAGACATATGAACGATATTTTATCAGTTAATAATTATTTTATTCTATTGTCGGCTTAATATCCAAGTGATATTGACAGAGTCTGCCATAATTGTTTCATATTAGGATGTTTTGCTGAATACACTGTATACAGGGTTATTTTTGCCCTTTCAAACTTAGAAAATATTTTGCCCCGCGTTTAAAATTCGCCCAATAGCAATTCTTTTTAAGAAATCATTATACAGTTATTGACTGGGTATTAGGGCAAAATATGATTTGTTGGACCTGAAGGTGAAAATGTTGCCCGAGGCCGCAGGCCAAGGGCAACATTTCACCTTCAGGTCCAACAAATCATATATTGCCCGAATCCCAGTCTATAACTGTTTTGTTATACCCTTCAGTGCTCACTGAAGATTTAATCAATACACACTACATTAATTATCAACTACTTTTATGGAAATTATAGCTTAATAAATCAGTAAATATAAGGGTATAACAAGCCGTGTTTCTTACATTCGCCCCGTTTTATTTTCGCCATCCCGAGAGTAGGGTGAATGGGGCGAATATAAAACGGGGGCGAAAATTCCCCCTGTACACAGAATACGATAAGGGTCAACTAATGATTAAATTGTATGACAACTATATAATTCATCTTTTTCATCGACAACATTCTTTTTTTTTTGTGAAATAAGTTGAATTTCTTTTCTTTATATCATTTCATTGATGTGAAAAAATTTTGAAAATGTTTCGCAATACCTTTATAAACAAGTTCCGTATCGTTCTGTGGACATTCATATCTTCCCCAACGTGTATAAACTGCACCAGCACTTTTTGTTTCAGCTGTAAGTAAAACAGAATTAATAATTGGAAATTTATACAACCAATACCTTTGATGAGATAATTTACTTTAATAGGTTCACAAGCATAGAAATAAATTTATATATACATGTATATAGTTTGAAGTTTTTTCTTAGATTTGTAACGTTTCTTTGGTATTTAATTAATAGGGTTATATATTCATTATCTTAAAGCGTATACGTTATTTCTAAAACTACAGACATAAATAACATGTTCTCTTTATCTCCGCTAAAATCAGACAATTATAAAATGTTTTTTTTATTTATATAACTATAGCAAAACATTTCATTTCAAATCAGATACAGAAAAACTGGTTAAAGTTCTTGATGTAATCCATCTATATTTTAAGTTCCATTATTATGGATGAAAGGATATTTTGAGAAAATTCAATTGATGCAAAATAACAAAAGATAAAAACAAAATAAATAAAACATGATTAACTTACTAATCGAAAATTGCATTGAAAAAAATACATAAAATCCAACTTTTGAAAAAAAAAAAAATAGCTTGACATAGGAACTGTTGAATGTTACACTAGTAAATGACTGTTCTTTACTCGTCGACTGACAAACTCATATTTTTTTTAATAATGTGAATCTTAATTTCATCATCGATTTAACAATTTCGTTCATTTTCGGGTTATAGTAGTAGCGCATAAATATAAACTTCGGTGTATCTAGAATCAAAAATGATATGTTCATACTTACATGAAATATTTTTCAAACTAGCTTTTAAGGATCCAATTTCTTTTGCTTGGCTCTCCACGACTGTTTTCAAATCCCTAAGTTGTTGTTGATAATCCAGACTGTCCTGTAACTCTTTTTGGGCTTCCAGTATTTGATGTAATGCATACTTAGTGGATGCCGAAAACTTATTTAATTTTCTAATTAGTAATGACATATCTGTTCCTTTACAAAAGCAAGGGACTAGGAAGAGAAACACTGCTATAATTGCGTGAATTAAAACAAGCCTCATGATACCAAAAGAAGAATGAAATGAGCTTAAGCTTGTTTGTTTATTTTCAAATATATATAGTTAAAACGAGTGAAACATGTGTTGCAGTAAAATGCCTCTTCGTGAGATTTCTCACTTATTGATATTTTACAACTGTAACAGGTTTGTGATATCTGATAACCTTAATTAAGGTCTTCCGCTCAAAGGACTTCCGCTCGAAGGTCTTCCGCTGAGCGGAAGACCTACTGGTTCTGATGGTTGATTATTCTCTATATTATTTTTCTTCCATAGACGCCAACTTTGTTACCTCATATCCTGCTCATTTCTGAATGTATTTTGCTCAAATTTTCAGAATTTTCAGACGTTACATAACTCTATCAGAATAATTTCATACATTTCAAAATGCACTTCTCCTTTGGAGTTATTTCCCTTTAAATGAAAATCTGGGGTTTTTCGTTTTCAGACAACGGCTTTGAGACTGCACAAGTTGGAGCAGAAATACTACTGATTTTGAATAATTGATGCATTGAAGTTGTGCACATCGGTTTTTTTTTTATTTCTGCGTTCAAAACGGCGCCAGACAGGGGTAAAAATAATTGAATGTCTAAAAGGGAGAACATTTACACATATTTCCCTATATTTCTTTTAAACTAAAATATTTTTTAAAGACTTGTATAAATTTTAAGATCTTTGATTTGACAACACTAAAAGGGGCCGGCTCAAAAAATATGGGATCTGGGACCCTTTAAAGTTTTCGAATTACACCTCAAAAACGGTAAATATTTCGAAAAAGCTGTCATAGTTAAACTTGCTCTTACATATCTTATTGATCTCATGAAAACGCCATTTTGTACGAGTCTCAAAAAATTGTGTTATTGTAATAGTGATAGTTTTATACTATTTTAAATATTATCATATTCAAATGTATAATTTAATAATTATACATTTATGAATTAGTCACAACTGATTTTAAACTCTAAAGTGCATTAAATCTGTGTGTCAATCAATATTGACCAAAACAAATAATTTAAACTTAAAGATTGAAACCTTTCACTTAAATAATTAATCAAATAAAATACTTTTAAATAACTAAATAAAACAACCTAAATGAAATAAAATAAACAATCAGCTAAAACTTTAGATCCACTCCTTTTCTATTTCTACCCCTGTAATAAGCTACCTGAGTAGAATTCAATTTCCTTAAATCCTATTGGTCAAGACTTTTACCTCCAAATTCTGGACAATAGACAAAGACACTTTTTCAGCGACTATGCATGAGTTTACATGCTATTGCAAATGATCTTTAATTTATGAAATTTGACTGACTGTTTCAAAGAAACTGTTAGTAATCATATAATTTACTTTTTGAAATACATACGGTAACTTAAAATCAAATACTTTCATATTCATAATTTCTGAAATTGATAAACTGAAAGAGAGATTTTTGGAGTGAGAGATAAAATTATTTTGCAGAGTCCAGAATTATTTATTTATTGCTTATACTGATATACTCTGCTGCAACTTATTTAAAGAAGCTAGGAGTCAAGCTTTGTTCCACAAATAGGTACTAATTTATATATTTTTGCAATACAGATTTACTATTTTATTCTGAGAATTGTAAATGTGATATTTAATAATAATTTCCATTTATTATATTGTCAACATAAAGAATCTATTTTCTATATGAATGTTTAATATCAGCTTTACATGTATTTCATGGTATTTTATAAAAGTCTGATTCAAGGGGAATAACTTGTGAATTCCTCAAATGCTATGTACATGTATTGATGTTTTATGATTTGTTATAATGTGAAATACTATTGATATATCCTGATTAAATATGTATTGTATTTCCAGGGCTATGGTCATGATGATTTGCTTGTATTAGATGACTCCATAATAAACCAATATATAAACGAACCCGCAGGTGTTATTATTCATCTACAACCCCTGTTACATTATAAATGATCATGAGCAGAAAGCTTTAGCCATATCAAGGTAAGTGATTTCATTCGGCTTATGAAGAAGAATTCTTTATGCCTATAACTGAAAATAAAATTGATAAAAATAATATACCTCACTTAACTGAATTTTAATGTTTTAGCTTATTCTATAGCTGCATGGATCCCTTACAAATTATTCAGAGACAATTTTCTACTTACAATGTATATTTAATTCTTAAGCGAAAAACACATTTCTTGTTTTTAATATTAAATGTAGCACTATTCATTTAAAAATAAAACTTTCAAGGGTTAGATAATTCAGTCATTTAATTCATACATCTAAATTTTTTCTCGGAATTTTTATTTTAAACGGGAAACATTTATAAGGGATATATAAAGGTTACTGATTTTATAAATCTTAAACATTAAACTTTTTCTTTATATATAACCAATTTATTTCTCAATCATGTGCAACTGAATGTTTAAATATGAGGATTCGTCGCATGTCTTAAAAATTTTGCAATTTACTCTTACCAGTTAAAGCGCAAGATATCCCATTTCCATTGAACAATGTAAAAAAAGAAGAAAAGAAAAAACAAAATAAAACATCAATTTTTGATTACTTCTAAACATTCATACATATTTTTACATTACAACTTTAATGCTGAGAAACCACTAGGTATTGTTGATAATTATGTAACTACAATACGAAGTTAATGTGTGATCTTCAAACGCAACATCTGTGTCGCAATGTGTTCATAACACACCCTGTTTACGAAAATAGATGAAAAAGTTTCAAAAAATATTTCCAAATTTGAAAGGAATTACATGTCATTTGATTTGTATGTATACGTAAGTAAATATCTATAATATTGTGACGGATTTTTTTTATAATACATGTTCATGTTATCCATTAGTTTTAGTACAATATTATATCGGTAACAGCTTAGGTGCCTTTAAGTTTATTTGGATATTATCCAGAACTGTTAGTAATGGGGGTTTTTTGTTGTTACACGAAATCCATGTACGACGCTTCACCTGTGAATCAATATTATGAACTTTGTCTGGTGTCACAGAAGAATTTCCCATTTAAATTAAGTTATTATTTTGGTAGATCCTTTAAAGATAATATTTAGTAACAAATTTGAAATTAAGGCTGCAATTGCATTTTGGAACTAAGTTGGGATTAAGGATACCATCCAAACCTTCAGTACTTATTGATAACACATGCTGGACTACATGTTTATGTAAATTAAATAATGAATCAGAAAGCGTAGCTTGTGAGACATGCTTCATCAAGATTTTAATTTCCCTTTAGCATAATATGATTAATGGTAATTTCCATCTGATAGATACATGTATCTGCACCACGTATAAATGCATGCAATTACGTTTTTTTCTTTGTAAGAAGAATCTCTGACTAAAAATATGTAATTGAACATAAGAAATGAAAATATTTAATTTTCCCCCTACTTTTCCCCTTCTTTAATAACGTTTTCTTCTGTTTTTCTCCCTCCCTAAAAATTAAACTCCTTTCTACCGGCTTGGGCAAAAACATGACTTTCACAATGGTAGTACCTTGATAATAATGTGTTCTAAGTCTATGATTCGGTGCTGGAAGTATGGCGTTTCGAACAAATTAAGAAGGAAAGAAAAATACTATTTTAATTTTTTTTCCATTTTCAATGCGAATACATTCTATTTCCACTATGGAAGAATTTTACTTCTTAGTGCCCTCAAAAGTTGCAATAAACTCCTTATTTCGCGACTCTTAGAGCAGACGTTCTAAACATTGACCCAAGAGGGCGTCATTAAAAAGACTGAACATTTTTCCTATGAAAATACACACACTTAAAAGGACAAAATGATCATTTTTCTATTACTTAAAAAAAATCTTTAAGGCCACAAAGGATTTAAGATGTTTTAGATTAATAGTCAGAAAGTATACTCGTATACGAGTATGTGAACTTGTAAAGTCGGTTACATAACGGACTTGCTTAAAACCAGTTGCAGAGTGTGTCATGGCTTGACGGAAAGTCATTTTTTCAAGTTCAAGTTCACTATCAGAATAACTGTACATTTCTTTTCTGTCTGTCTTCTTCTGAAACATTGCAAAATGATACCCCTTAGAAAATTGCTGACAACTTTAGAAATAGCATGGCCTTGACTCAAGGTCACCTTGTCCTCTTTACTGATCCCGCGGAATACCTACTCGTTGCTTTGTAAGGAGCTCCGCTCTAGTTTAAATGATAAATTTGTTGATATAAAGTTATCGTGTAGTAGTTTGGATCATGTTTAAGTGATTTGTAAAAAGATTTATAAGGGATCATATTTTTAAAATTGGAAAAAGACAATTCAGTTTTCAATTAGAACACATTCTGCTACAACGGAGATCATATCACACTAATATGTTGAGTTTTTTTTCTACATTTTGCTCGTACTCTAGATGTACTTTTAGTAAAAATGATACCCCTTACTCCAGCTGACAGATCTACCTCGTGAAAATAGCGTCAAGATTGTTTTTGAATTAGTTGTTGAATTGTGATATGTACGTGTATTTCAATGGAGTTAAAATTCATAGCAAACCTTAGTTACGTTCTTTGTCCCTTGTGCAAAAACAACAGTCATACAATTCAAATTAAAGTCTGACAATAAAGAGATCTCACAATTCAACGATTTACTTTTTAGTCATTATTTTTTAATACATCATTCCATTAAATTTTTTACTTTTTATATTTCTAAGCAGGCGCAAAATAAATCAATGATTCCTTATTATGAAGTGATGATAAGAGAGTCGATGATATTGTTAATTGTAGAAGAACCTTAACAACAAAAATATCCAAATCTGGCGTAATAATTAAACAATACAAATCTCTCATTTCCCGTTTGATTGCCTTAAGTAAATATTTTTCTTTCAATTTATCGTGGACTGCTGGCTGCAAATAACTTGAAGAAATGTTATGTCATATCTAATATTTTGGCATTTATCTTCAATCGATAATATGTATCAGTTGCCTAAATCCATTACAAGAAAACAAACCTACCTTATTTTTTGATTGCTTGTATAATGACGCATTAAACTTTATTGGAAAAAGATATGGCTTTGTTGAGTGTTTGGAAGTTAAGTTTCGAAGGTAAATAATTATTAATTGTTTGTTTGCATTTATTTGAAAATTATCTCATTATTCAAATGTTAAACAATAATTGCTCTGAAAATATGCAGCAATTCTTCATTAAATTTATAATTTATACTTATATGTTTATTACAAAATTAAAATATATATATATAATCAAAGAGGACATAAGTGACTTTTAAAATTAGAATGAAAAAGCTGAAGGTAACAAACTGTAATCGATTAAATTAAACTACATTCTAAAGTAAGCTGAATTCATTTTGTTTTTCATACAATTTGGCTTGTGTGGGTAAAACATTTTGTAAATTACATCTAAAGAGATTATCTATATATCTGGCCTCCTCGAGCTGAAGACCAAAGCAAAGTGTTGTTTTCTTCGTTTATAGAAAGTTGGCTAAAAAGAGCTAAGTATAATGCAGCGACAGTTTTAAACATTCTGTTGACAGATTTTTCTTGAACGATTATCTAGAACTTTAAAATATTTTTTCTGCAGGTGTGATTTTTAAGTAATTTTGTTGATGACCAATCACAACAGGTCCCTGTTTGCTCTGCTCCTATTTTGGTATTGTTTTATGGGGTTTTGAGCTTGAATACTGTTTGTTATCTTCATATATTTCATAGTGAAACTTGTTTTTTTTAAAGTGAAGAAACAGTTGCTTATACTATCGTTAACCATTCTTTAAATGAACCTTTTCATTTACAAAGATTCTAACTTGAAAATATTTATTACATTCATTCTGAATCCTTTGCAGCTTTTCTTCTAGTTCTATTCTCCAGAGTCTGTCTGTTTGTCCCATCTGATCCTGGTCAGTGTTATAGCTGGGATATCTTCCAACATGGCCATTTGCTAGGAAATAAATTGCGTATGATAGAAAATATAGGACCATTCACATGCATCAGGGAGTGTCTTTTAAGAAAAAGTTGTAAGTCCATAGACTATCTACAATACTATAAAGCTTGTGAAATCAATTTTGACAACACATCTAAGGATAATCCTCTAGAACAGAAACTTCTTCCATGGCGGCATCTTGAAAAAAGTGATATGTATAAATTGGTAAGTGACTTTTGTTAAATTTTGTCCTTTTTCGAATTTTCCCATTTTTTCCTTGGTACGGAAATTGATTGTTGTATTGATTTAATGACATTTGATCTTGTACAGGTTCGTTATCTCTCTATGTTTCATGTACTTAGTGGTTCTCTGAAATGATGAAAAATAAGATGTGAGAGTTCTTTGTTTATAGTTAGATGTATCTCCTTGTAATGATACAGTGTGTGGAGTCAATGAGAGATGCGAAGTCCTGGCAAACGATTCAGTTAGCTGCAGCATAACAGGTAATCCCATCACACAATCTGGTTTGAAAAAGAGATCAAAATATTACTAAACATTTTTCCGGAAAAAAATAAGTTAAAGCGAATTTTTGAAAATCAAATTTTTTAAAATTATAAAATTAATTAAAATTATTTTTATGATTTCAAATATTGAATTTGCAGAATGTGGTCCACAGCTGGTTGGAAAGGAATTTCATTTGAAAAACAAGTCGAAAAGCGTCATGATGATAGGGAGTCGAATCCAGTACAACTGCACTAGCAATGCTGCTCTTAAAATCGTACGTTATTGTCAGCCAACGGGATTATGGAAAGACTTAGAAGACTCGCCTAATGCATGCAGTAAGTATTCTTCCACGCTTACATTATTATACTCAGTATTGTTATATACATGTATACAATGTTGATGCTCAATTATAGAAATGATTTTTTTTCCTTCTAGGTGATCAGTCAGCTTTTCCAAATCTACTGGATTGGTGAAAGGATTCACTGAAAGCAATAATTTGATGGGATGACAGCTGACATTAAATTTCAGGGTGTTTGTTAAAATACGACGGCACTTCAAAATATTTACATCCACTGAATACTTTCTTCTTTATTTCTTAAGAAAACCCATTGCGTTCATCACTGCATGAACTACATTAGGCATATCACCTGTACAGATTTCTTGATCAGTGACTGTTCCATCAATGAAACATACAAAGACGTTCGCATCATTAACATAATAATTAATATTTTTAATCCTACTTAAAATGATAATTTAAACAGATATAAATATAAACAATAAAATGTCTTTCTTTCTTTGTTATTACTGGAATGAACGGTCGCAGCTATTGCAGAAAAATTTACATAATCCGCTTACGCGGGTTATGTATTTTTTCTGCAACAGCTGCTTCCGTTCATTCCAGTAACAACAAACAAAGAAAGCATTTTTTTGTTTAAATAATGTCCTGAGCTCTGTGACATACAAAACAGAAATCCTGTGACACTAAGCCTGACTCTCTCTCATGATTGATTCTTTATTGAATTGAAATGAATTGAATTGATAACAATTTATATGGCCACTTTTAAGCTCACATGAGCCGAAGGCTCAAGTGAGCTTTTCTGATCACATTTTGTCCGTCGTCCGTCCGTCCGTCCGACCGCCTGTAAACTTTTCACATTTTCGACTTCTTCTTTAGAACCAATGGGCCAATTTTAATCAATCTTGGTACAAAACTTGTTGGGTAAAGGGGAGTTTAAATTCTTAAACTGAAGGGCCAGTCCCCCTTACAAGGGGAGATAATCATGAAATGGCATCATAAAAAAATCTTCTCAAGAACCACTGGGCCAGGAAAGCTGAAACTTAAGTGGAAGCATTCTTGGGTAGTGTAAATATTTAAGGAATGAAGCTAATTTCAACTTATGTTATCCGATATAACATAACTTGGGGCAGTTTACGCTTTATAAACCGCGAAGCGGTTTATAAAAAAGCGTAAACTGCCCCAAGTTTTGTTATATCGGATAACATAAGTTGAAATTAGCTTCATTCCTTATAATTTAATTCCAATGTAGACAATGAGACAATATTTCCACCGGAAAAAGACTTCAAATTGAGCATTATTTTAAAAGTAACGTCAAGCGGAGTAATACGTTTTTGACGGAACTCATTGTGACGTAGGCAAGTTATGTTATCCAAAATATTATATGTTCCTCTGAATGATTCAGCCAATGAAACTGCTTGATTCAAGTGAAATTAAATTATTTAATTTTTAAAATCGTGACCCCAGAGGGTAGAACGGGGCCGCAATATGGAAACCAAGTTTTACATAGGTATATATAGAACAAATCTTTAAAAATCTTCTCAAGAACCACTGGGACAGGAAAGCTGAAACTTATGTCGAAGCATCCTTGATTAGTGTAGATGTTAAATTGTTAAAATCATGACCCCAGGGGGTAGGGAGGGGCCACAATAGGGAATTCTATTTTTAGATAGGAATACTAGTATATAGAACAAATTTTTAAAAATCTTCTCAAAAAAACCACAGGGCCAGGAAATCTGAAACTTATGTGGAAGCTTCCTTGGGTAGTGTAGATATTAAATTTTTAGATCATGACCCCGGGGATAAGACAGGGTCACAATAGTGAATTCCATTCCAAGTTTTACATGGAAATATATAGAACAAATCTTTAAAAATCTTCTCAAGAACCACAGGCCAGGAAAGCCGACACTTATGTGGAAGCTTCCTTGTGTAGCGTAGCAATTAAATTGTTAAAATCATGACCCCCTGGGGTAGAGCGGGACCATAATAGTAAATTTCAAGTTTTACATAGAAATATATAGAACAAATCTTTAAAAATCTTCTCAAGAACCACAGGGCCAGGAAAGTTACACTTGTGTGGAAGCTTACTTGGGTAGTGTAGCAATTAAATTGTTAAAATCATGACCCCTGGGGTTAGGGCGGGGCCATAATAGTGAATCCCAAGTTTTACATAGAAATGCATAAAACAAATGTTTAAAAATCTTCTTCTCAAGAACCACAGGGCCAGGAAAGCTGACACTTATGTGGAAGCTTCCTTGGGTAGTGTAGATATTAAATTGTTAAAATCATGACCCCGGGGAGTAGGGCGAGGCCACAATAGGGAATCCAAGTTTTACATGGATATATTTAGGAAAAATCTTTTATGATTCTTCTTCTCAAGAACCACAGGGCCAGGAAACTTATGTGAAAGCATCCTGGGGTAGTGCAGACTTAAAATTTTTAAAATCATAAAAGGGAAGGGGGTAGGGGCACGATAGATATAGCAAGAGGGGAAATCTGGTAAAGAACTGCATCACCCAAGTTACTCACGTGAGCGATGTTGCTCGTGGGCCTCTTGTTGCCACATAGTTTCACTGTGAGAAGCTGCAAAACAATGGCTATTCGAGACACTGTATTATAAATAAATGGTAAAGATTCAGTAAACTAGAGTGAAGTTACATGCTTCATGAAAGCTGCTGTTAAACTCGTTTGGAATCCCAAAGAAATATTTACTGAAATATGATAAATCTACATCACCAAATCTTTGTTTTATTGACACATGAGCAGGAGGATTTCAATTGATAAAATTGGCATGAAAAATGGATACCGTCCTTGGCGACAAAGACTTACAACAACCAATGTACTGTTTGCCAAGCTTCAACAAATATTACTGATGATGTTTGACTGCCTTTAAGAATTGATAATCATTTTGGGGATAGTTTACACAATTTAAAAGAATAGCTTAGTACTTAACGGTCACCCTATATTTTGAAAAAATGAGTGAAAAGGTAGCGCGTAAGAATGTCTAACCAATTATTTTTAAAAATAATCCGTGTTCGTCGTCTGAAATTCAATTCGAAAATTTAGAGTTAATCTTTTGTCACACCAAACATATTCGCCAGATTATTCACCCTTTGATTTGTTTCACTTTCAAACGAAAAAAAACACCTTTCAGAAGGAAAAAAAAACAAGTCCAGGAAACCATAGGATCTGCCATATTCCAGTATACGAAGGGTCATACTCAGAAAAGGTGTTCTAAAAACAATCAGAAATTCGATAAAAATGTTTAAGACGTAAGTTTTAATGAAAAGAGAATATTTAAGTAAAATCATTAATACTAGATCATTGAAAAACTTCTTTTTTTCTTTCCGAGCACTGAGGACATTATTTATTAAACAACACTCGTAATAAAAAATAAACTAATTAATGGTACCTTGAGCAGTCTATCCAATGACTTTCAATAAGAATTAAAGAATTGCTAACCTTCAAGAATATTTTTTTCCAAACCAACTCAATAGTATCAATAGTCATCGTATATCAAAAGACGTTTTAATGATTTATGACTTAAAAATAGCGAACTAAGGTTTTCAATGTAACTTGAACAAATTAAACAAACTTTATTAATACTTGGATATATCTTACCTGTAAAACTGCACATGTATACTTTTGCTTATATGGATAATGTTTCTTAATTTTGATATATAGTCATCATTAAAAATGATTCATGACTAAATCCCTCCTTATGTAGTTTTCTTTAAATAGATAGGAGACATTTTTCAAAGATAGACAGCCATTCAGTTGCATGTAGTAAAAGGTAAAACTTATAACAAACACTGATTTGAAAAAAATATAAATGATACAAATATGGAAAGAGCACAATTAACACGGACCCCAGAAAATTATAAAGGAAGAATCTATGGTTCCTAGGAGAAGAAAACCTGTGGACCGGTTACACCCACCGTGATTTGTGCATACTAAACAAGTATACGAAACTTTCCGTAGTAAAGTCAGTGGGAAAACAAAGACCTAACAAACAGTTCGAAAGAAACCCAAATAAGACCCAATGATGGGTTATATTTGCTAAAAAGGTCATTATAACGGTCATAAAATTCACGAAATGCTGACTTTGAACGACACTGTTAAAATCAGTGAATATCCTTCTCGCTTTACATGTATAATGCTCCTATGTACACGAATGAATGTTGGATTCTAGACAATCCAGAAGGAAAATTGTTCAAAGACAACAGACATGACAGAGTATTGATAAACAGAAATGTTTGGCTAGTTATATACAGTGACATTCAAATGTCCAGATACTTTATCTCAGCTTTATAAAATGATGAGAAATTTTAAATGGTTTATAAACTGAATAAACTGAGCATTACTGATTTTAAGATCACATTAAGTTATAACACTACAGTGTGCACACCCATTCTCAATATAAGGGCTCAAATAATGTCGCCTCATTTTCATTTAGAAGAAATACTGCTGATGTAATTTTTAAATCAACATTATAAATAGTCATATAACAATGAATAAGAATTCATATTATTATCGATCTGAAAAGGTATTTTAGGAGTTCCAAATTCAAATATAGTAGCCTATTTGAAATGTACGTTACTGTCGCCGAGGCAAATATTATGCTTAATCGCCTCTGTGTAATATGCAGTTTTGATTCTCAAGTAAAATTTTTTTTTATAAAATAAACCTTGTATCATATATATTTCTTTTCACAACAATAAATACGTTTTCTTTGTGATAATAAATAATTTTTATTGTGCAATGTCCCTGTCGCTTACTTCTATTTCGACCACATTACAAGCAAACACAAAGATTATACAGCTGATTGTTTTGTTCTCCTTTATTTATTGATGGGCTAAATTTGAAATTTCAAAGGATTAATTACTCCTACATTGATAATGTAACATGAAATTGAACAATTTGAGCAACTTTTATAAATATGTTTACGGAATGAAAGACATACTAAATCGTAGAGATAAGAAAGAAATGTGCGTTACCTATATTCTTCCATTAAGAATATATATTAAGTAGAAAATATGAGACGACTCTGAATAAGCAACCCCTTGTATCTTGTAAACTGGCAAAGACGTTTTGCTCAACGCAATTAAAAATTATTTTTTACATGAAAGTGATCATTTGAAATGTACTTTACTGAAATGTACGTTACCATGAAATTCGAATTAAGTGAATCTCGCACGAATTTTCATGCATTCTCATACTTTCACACACTCGGATGTGTACAAAAAGGAAAGTTTGAAAGGTTGTAGGTCGTCTAAATCCCGAAATTAATGAAAAGAAACGTTTCTGCAGAGGAAAAAAATATATTAAGGTCAATTATATGTGCGCGTAATGAACAAGACTCCTTAAATCTCTTCATAAATGGTTTATAAGCTGAATAAACTGAGCATTACTGATTTTAAGATCATACTAAGTTATAACACTGCAGTGTGCAGCGTAATGAACGAAACTCCTTAGATCTCTTCTATCTATCCAGCAGCACATGTTTTCAAAACGCAAAGCGAACTATCTACCGAAACTCTTACATAAGGCAGTTTTGAGTGATCGGTTATAAGGAGTTTTAGTTCCATAGAGAAGGATATGGAAATAACGAACAGTATTCAATCTCAACGTCCATTAAACAAATATACAAAATAAGAGCAGAGCAAACACGGAGAATCAAGCTGTAAAAAGAGTGGAAAGATCTCAAGAGAAATTTTTGGACAATGGGTTCTTGGTTTCTTCAGCTGTTTTTTATCACCTGAATATTACCTCAATGGACCGAAGGGAGTCATTTCCGTGGAGGTATTTTTATGTGGAAACCCACACAAAACGAAAACGAGGTGAGTTAAGTTGACAGGTATATGCATATACTGTCAGACACTTTATTTACTGTAAGTATTTTATTTCAAGTGAAGATAAATGACAAGATAGAATTACAAGATATGTGCAAAAGTATCTTGTTTGAACTACAAATTCAGCAATGAATACACGTGCACGAAAAAGCACACCAAAATAAGAAAAAATGACGAGGAATATAGTATGTTGTCCTCTTGTTGAAAATACCGTAAACGTATTACATTTGGCTGTTTATTCCTTTTAGCTTCTTTCTAAATCAAGTACATCGCTAAATGCTTTTTATACAGAGGTTTATGTCACGCAAATTCGACGTCTCTTTATCAGTGAAATATTCTGGAGAGGGACGTTAAACAGTATACAATCAATCAATCACGCAAATTCAAAAAGCGCTAAATCAAATCTATGCCAACTTGTAGAAAATTCAATTTACGCTAAATATCGTACACGCCAAATGTAATAAATTTACAGTACTTGAACATTGCGAACAAACAGTCATAAATATCAATTATGTTTGCATGCGACATGGAATAACAGTTTACCAAACCTATAGTAAACTATTGAGTCATACCATGCAGGCGGCAGCAGCTGCTCTGCATAATGAACTATGCGCACAAAAGTGCAGAAAATTTTCTGTTACAATGGAGCATTTTGGGAAGTGTATAGACAGAAATATGTCAGTACATACTGCCGATCTTGAATATACTTTACATACACATTTATAAGCTGTACAACAAGTAAATTAGATGTGGATACTAACAAAAATTCACGGAACTTTTGGTACATTTTAAATAAAAACTTTTAACAAAATCAACAGCATACAACTATTCCTCCACAAAAAATTTAAGTTCAGATTTTTTTTAAATCATTGACAGCTGCTTTTTCAAAAAAAGGAACTCGTAAATTTACTCACCTTGTCAATGATTATTTATCAGTAGGATTCACTTGTTTTTGCTTGTATATGAAAAAGTCTAGAGAAATTACAGAGATGAGGAAAAGAAAGAAATATATGAAGAAACATTCTGATTGTACACGCAGGTACTCTGAATTTGATATTGAAAAGATGCTTGGGTTTTTGATTGACAATATATCTATGTGGTATTTGGAGACCACGTCTTCCAACATTCTATTGGAATTCCCTTCGGTTCCAATTGCGCCCAGTTTTTTGTATTCATATGAAGAAGAATTTGTTCAAAATCTTATTTGTGAAAAGCAGATAACTCTCGCTGTGACCTTCAACTCGACATATAGATATATCGATGACGTGTTGTCAATTAACAATGGATATTTCCATGCTTATGTCGATACAATACATCCACATGAGCTTGAAATAAAAGATATAACAGAGTGTAAGTCACCAGGTCCATACTTAGATATTGAGGAAGACCGAAATGGTACTCTACATGTTACAACCAAGCTTTCTGATTAACAGGATGAGTTTAACTTTTCAATCGTTAACTTCGCATACTTATGCAGCAATATACCTTCGTCGGCTGCATACGTGGTTAATTCAATATAATATAATAATTGCTAGCAAGGTAATGTTTCCAATACTTGCAATGTTTTAGGTGCTTGTTACATTCCGAATGGCATGGAGACGTTCTTATAGTGGTGTAACAATGTGTAATAAAACAACTATTGAAGATGGTGATGTCATTGCTGCCCTCGGTGATGTCATGTGCTTTGACTGCTCGAGTTTTTCTTCAAAGATTTCAGATGTCGGGATCGTTTGCACTGATTTCAGTGTCCAGGAAGACTGGACGCAAGGAGAACGCAGCTTTGTGCATACTCTCCAGGATAAGTCTGCTCAAATTGGGTGTGTAAAACCGTCCTTTTTCATTCAATCTAAATGCTGTTTTTTTAAAAACTTATGCAGAATAAATTTTCATATACACAAAAATTTTATCAGATTCACAGGAGGAGGTTGGATATCGCTTGTATCTGGGGGAGGCAGTTGGGAAATGCGAACAACTATTGACTTAAACCGGCGACGTGACACCGGAAAAATTAATTCATCCCCAGTCTCTGCAATGCCTCCGATTATACGTCTACAGCATGGATGTGAGCACAACATAACTATACCAGGTACTCTTGTTATATTTTTGTGGGAAAGTTGAGGATCACATTTAAAAAAAAAACTCTTCCTCATTTTTAGAGTGCATATTAAAATTTTTTATAACATTCGACATGTACATGTACATTAAATCTTACATATGAATATTGCCAAATAAAAAAAAGATTAATCAAAATACAAAAACTTCAAAAATCTTAATCTTTGAACAAATTTCAGTTTATGACAAAGATAATGACACAGTTCGATGTAGATGGGCAGAGTCCTCAAAGAGTGAATGTGGGGGAGTGTGTAGGTCTTTTCCAAATTCATTTCTCGACGAGGTAACAATATCAACTACTTCAATATAAATTCTGTAATAAAGTTTATAATTGTTTCGATCGCTTACAGCTTGTTCAAAACTGAAGATTGGCAAAAAGAGGGTTTTAATTTTACTGTGTTCGGAATTCATCATTTATCTGCGAAATTAAATCCATCGTAAATGCTATCGATCACTAATAAAAATGATTAAATGCTTAAACGAAATGTAAATTAATTTCTTGCTCCTTGATTTTTGAAAAATCGTAAAATTTTAGCACCGTGAAATTAAAACGACTTACTGTATTTGTCCAAGCATAAATGATTTGCAATTGAATATGGTACATGTATCAGAGAAGGATAAACTTTTTTCTGATTCAAAAGAATAGGTGTTACGTGTGTCAGAAATTCACATGTTGCGTGTCGGACGTACGATCTTTTTATCAATTTCTATATTAATTTACTACATGATAGATACTTCACTCTGTATGTGATGAGAATTTGTTTGTCCAAATGAAATAAAAAGAAACTGAATTAAGGGGGTACTATTTTAAAAAAGGAAACGATAAAGCTAATAGAATTACAAAAAGAATAGTCTGAAGCATTGCATTACTGCTGGAGAATAACTTATAGACGGTTATTTATTTCATTTTTGAGTGTATATACAAGCATAATACAACCATTTTAATGGTGAATATTCAAGGTTTTTTCCATGCTGCATTGCTTATCGAGAGGACACAATGTGGGATCTATTTTTTTTGTTATGGGATAAATCAAGGAAATTGTAAGAACAAATCTGCTTAATATAATTAATTTAATTTTTTGTAGCGAATAACTTTTCAATTTATGAACAAAGGTAAATTAGGATCAAGTGACGAAAAGATTCCAAAGTTAAACATAAGAAAACAGATCTTAGAGATCATCTTTTGAAAAATGGCGAAAAGATAATGTTCATGTCACGGGCGCAAAAAGGAGATTTAGGAAGGATCAATGTTTTCCTTATAAAGATGTTAGAAAGCGTATTTAAAATATTAGGTTAGGCTGAACTCACGATTGGGAGACCATTGTTTTCAGTAAGATATATAAATTACATACTGAAGAACAATTCATAAACAAATTACTTGTCAAAACGGAGAAGTAACTCATATTAATTTTGTGTCAAGGACTCATTCAGAATTTAACAAACTTTGACTATTTAAATGCCTCAATAAGATATTAATTATAGATAAACTTCGCATTTTATTTCAGAAACGATGCGAGATTTCATACACTGCCAAAAACGAAACTGGCTGGTACGCTGTTGCCATTCAAATTGAAGACTTCAGCCCCTTAAACACCACACATGCGCTTAGTAGTGTTTCCCTTCAATTTCTGGTGAACGTTTTCTCTTCTGATAAACCTTGTCAAGACAAACCAAAGTTTGTTATGCCAACACGTCTAGATGGTGCATGTGTCGGTATTCCAATCAATTCTACTTGGACAGAACAAATCATAGCTCGGAGCGGGGCAGACGGAGTAAAGTGAGATTACATCAAATACCTTTTACTCACTTGAAAACTTACAGTCATAATAAAAGTTTTTAAAAAAAATTGTTCCAGAACATCTTGCGCTTGCGATGCCAGATTTTTCATATTGTCTAACATTAATTGCAAAAACAACCATTTTAAATCTTCATTCATAAATCTAAATGGCCTCAATCTAACGACATTAAAAACAGTTGTTTATTATAAAATATGGTACTGTAAATTTTGTGAATTTACATGGAGTGTTCCATTAAGAACAGTTAGTTTGCATATTATTTGTAGAATAGCGATATTGAAATAAAATGTAAGGGCATTAAGAACAAAGGTTTATTTAGTGCTATTTCTTGGTTGATATCCTATTCACAATTGGTATGGTACAATCATGAATCATCTTATTTGCCCCCAAAATATATGTGATTTTACAGTATTCAAAATATATTCACAGGTTAGCTCAAAGAAGGCACTGAATAAGATTCTATTGAATTGACATTTATCAATGTTCAAAATGTTTTGTGTATTGGCTAACGTCAATATGCATATCTTTCATGTAGTTGTAAAAAGGAAAGGGGAACAATTTTTCTCAATTCTTGAAATCGGACGATGACATAAACATATTTACAGGAAGTGAAACCGAACCAAAGAGCTTTTATTTATTTCTACACCAAAAATGGCAATTTTGTTTCCAAGATAGATGTTTCTGAAAGTGCTTTAGCTGTATACCAATCTGAGAGCACCAGCTCAGGCAACTGGATTCTGAACATTTCAATCAATTTTGAACTGAAAGTGAAGGAGCATTACTACATCAAACTTGATCCAGGTATATAATTGTATTTCCAGTTTTACATTATATGTCATTTGAAGTGATTTTAAATGCTAATACGTGTTTATTTGGATTGGATTCAAACGATTCAAATACTTATACATGTTGTATGTTGTAGCTGAAGATTGACGGTATTTAAATATATTAATTTTGAAATCCACAACTAATTTATTTTAATATTCAAATAACCTTTTTATTTTGTAAAACTGACCCTTTGAAAGGGGCATTTTATATAGGCCAAGGTCAAAGTCACTTGTGTTTTAAAATATTCCGTTTTTCTGTTGATGTTTACCATCACGTGAATTAACTTTCGCAAACTAAAAATTGTGACTGACAATGCCCGGTATTTGTGTCCAGGTGTGTATTTAGGTGAAAGGAACCATTTTTATTTGCAGTTTTTAATTTAAAGCTAAAATAAAACTTTATTCTATTATAATTTAATTTAATTTTTCTTTAACAAGTGTAAAATTAAACACTAGGTATTGTCAAAAGTACAACTGGTTGTGGACCTAAATCGCCTGCTCTGTGGAACCCAAATGACTGGACATTCAGCGTCAGTAAGTATGACTTCTAACTGCTATGTATTGTAAATGCATAGTTCTGTATGAAAGAAGGATATGGAGATAACGAACAGTATTCAATATCAAAGTCCATAAAACTTCCGAAACATCAAAGGTGGGATTGAACTGATGTCTTTGTTGTTGAACGCCCCTCCCGGGTAATTTTCACTCAAAAGGAGACGCCTCCACTTGCAGGTATAGAGCTGCTGCACATTTTGAATTTTATTTAGCACATAGGGCCTTACAGCGGTGAGGGATCCTTTTCGTGCAAGCACCTACTGCGACACTGGACCTTGGTTCACACGGTCTCATCAGCCACAGAACTAGTCTCCACGTCTAGCAGTGGGATTTGAACCCAAGACGTAAGAATCAACTCCTTACTTTGCAACTCTAAAGCAGAAGCTCTTACTACTACTCTGACATGAATCCTTAATTTGTTTCAATTTTTATTGTTGCCTGAGTTGAAGCCAAATGTATCTTTTGTGTGTCTTTACAACAAGGATGTTATTAAACTGTAGTAAATATTCAGGTACACTTTTGTAATGATTTAAACAATTTTGTGCACTTTCAACCAAGATGATGTTATTTTCTCCATTAAAATAACGGTAGCAATTTTCAAGAAAAAAGAACTATATTTCTTTTGAAATATAAGGAATTGATGTACATGTAAATTAGCAGTGAGATTTCCCTTCTCAAATAAGTAATTTTATTGTCAGAAATGGGATTAGCGGTTGCAACCGTTGCCAAAAATAGTAAATATAATATATATTAAAAATTTGAGTACCGATTTTCTCTTACTCTGGCATATATTCAACACGTTTTCAAGGCAAGAAAAATGAAAGTTCGGTACACTTCAATACTTTTATCCCTTGAATGATTTATGTTTGGTATTATCGAATGGTTTTGCATGGCTATTATAATTAAAACTTAAGCAATTTTCTTACAAAACCCATACATCTCCTCAATTTTATGTCAGATTCTCAACTTTATCTTGTAAAGAAAATGTATGAACTTTCTACATTTTTACTCGATTCAATGGGGATAAGGGCATTGTGAACATTTTTAGACTATATTGATTTCCTTTAGAGGAAGAGTATCTGAGTTCCATATAAAGATACTTATATACCAAAAATGTTCAAATTTAAAAAAATGAAAAGTATGTAATTTTTCTTTGCCAAATGATAGTTGACAGCTTTTGATATCATACCTAAAATTAAAGTTATGTACGACGATTAAATGTTGACCCTCAAGCCTCTTTAGCTCACTAGCATTACGATAACATTTGATAATTATGTTACATGTAACTATGTACATCATTTATTAATTAGAGTTCCCAATAACAGACATAGCTCCTTTGGTGACGGTGGATACAGCTACAAGCGTTACTTGTCTAGTCATATCAACTTTTCTTATGTTGGGTAAGTTTTATACATTGTCTTCATGAACTGGCGTAATCATAACTATTCCCTTTTTTCTGGACAGCCTGCCATTTCATTAGTCCTTTATAGATTCGCAAACCCGTATTTTTATCCTTTTTCTGTATAACAAGCAATATAAAAATATTGTTTTGAAATTTTAGTTGTAATTGATCATGAAGCCTCGTTTCTTCATAAATTTTAGATATAATTTAAAGACAGATGAAAAAGATTTAAAACCATGTCACAAGTTTGGAAAAGTGGATGGTTCTTAGAATTTTTTCTCCGAAGAACTGGAAAATGAAATAGACTTGGAAAATATTAGTAATATTTCAATAAAAAAAACAAATATTGACAAATCACATTCAGTAAAGGTTTACAGGTGGATAAAATTTTCAGAATATGTTACTTTGGTGCTAAAAGTGTAATATAAACTTCAGAAAAATATACCAAGCCAGGTTAATTTTAAGAGGACGAACAAAATGACAAAAAATTAGCAATATCACATAGGCTGATTTTTACCATTTAGCTTTTCCTAATAAAATTCACCTGGCTTGGTATATTTTTCTTAAGTATATTACACTTTCAGCACCATGGTAAGATATTCTGAAATTTGTTTTCATCTGTAAACCTTTACTAAATGTAATTAGTCTACATTTGTTTTTTCATTGAAATATTACTAATATTTTTTTTTTCATAAGATATCTTTTTCATATTCCAGTTCTTAGGAGAAAAAATTTTAAGAACCATCCACTTTTCTAAACTTGTGACATGATATTAAATCATTTTCAAAGTAAAAAAAAAATGTTTGTATCATCTGTCCTTAAACATATTTCGAAGTTTAAATAATTATACATTTTTTATTTCAGATGAGGAATAAAGACTTCTAAAGGGGGCCAATCTTCAACCTTATCATAAATATTTTTCATTAATATGTATGAATTTATATTTGAAAAAAATATTGCAGTTTAATGAAAATATTGTTTGAATAATTAACAATTCACAATTTATTGTTTTTTTTAATTGGTAAATCATTGTTTTAACTTGTGTATGAATACTTATGATTTATGTAAATATTACATTCATATGCACTTAAATACAAATTTTTATTCACCATTTATTTAACTACATCAATAATAAAAATGTTTAAGACTGTGAATCTTTATTAAATCAATTGATTTTATATTTAAAAAAAAAAACAATTATTTAGTGTTGTCTGGTTGTGAAGAAAATCCTTTCATACGAGGAAAAACCTCGATTAAATTTAATTTGAAGTAATTTAAATGGAAGGTGTTTTATGCATCTCGATCTCAACAACATTAATTTGCTTTTGCTTGTTTATTTAAGAGTTTTTGATCAGTATTCTTACGATAATTTGTTGAAAAGAGAAACTTTTGGTAAACAAAACACGTTTATATAATATTTAAAATCGCACTTCAGACTGAATATTCATTACAGAGGTCCGAAATATTATTTTTAGCTTTTATAATTCAACATGCAAATTGTAAAGATAAAAAAAACTTTTTAATTTAGATGTAGCATTCGTAGATGTAGAGTACCTGACTTTTCTACTGGTAAAATTAATGCAAATAAATTGAGGAACGTGCTGTATCAATCATCATTTAAACAAATGCTGACTGACTTTATTCATACCAATTGTTAGCCCATTATTTACACACTGAATTGAGGACACGTTATTCGTTATTTTTTTATCATATTAAGGAACACACAGCGGGTGTGACCGGTCGGCAGGGTAAGTTCACTCATTAATGGCCCTGACCTAACCTCTGAACTACCGTTGGTTCGTGTTTGCTCCGCTCCTATTTGTATTTAAATGGACTTTTGAATTGAGTATAAATATTTTTAGTTATCTCCATATATTTCATGAGTTCTCAATACTCCCACTATCAATTACTCAATGTGCAAAAAGCAAAACCTCCCTTCCTCAATCCAATATGTATCGATATCTTAGAAAAATCGTTTGCATGTTTTGCTTAGCTCTTCACCATTGATTTCAAGTCATTTTAAATGTCTTTGTAAAAGTAAGATCATATAAAGGAACTCTTGACAACCATATGCAAGAATCAGAAATAAACTCCTCCCATGATTTATCTTTTGTAATGTGTCATGTTGTAAATTTTTAATTTACAGGAGCGTGGCAGTAAAAACAAAATTTACAACATAAAATTTTGTTACTGCGACTCGGTAAATTCAAAATTTACAACAAGACAAATGCCTGAATTGATCGCTCACTGTACAAATACGTGGTATCAAAAAATGGACTAAAGCCCATCCAGACTACCAAGGAGTTGACTGAAATTTCTTAATTTACTGTCATGTAAATATATGGTATAGTGAAAATATCTCTGCTGTTGAGTTTGTGAAAATCCTTGTAGCATGAATCTGTCCAAAATAATTGTGTTAAGATGACAAAGCCCTAGACGACAAATATAATGTAAATTGCGACTTAAATCTGTCATCAGATACATGTACAAGGATGGTTTCTGATATGTATATGACGATAATTGTATGTACCGAAATGGGGAAAAATATAGTATTCATAACGGCTACAGTGGGGATAAAAAAGTGAAATTACATGTATGTCCAGAAAAATTAAATATGATTTAAACAGCACATAGGTTTTGGGATATTTTTGTGGTAAAAAATAAAACCAATAAAGACATGGTAGTATAACTGTCCCGTGACCAAATCAACACCGTTAAATGTTTTACAAATAGAAAAATTCCTAACCATGAAGAATCAATTCTTCGCGAGAAATGGGAGAATTAATTTCTGAGTAAGAAGGGTACGTTCGAATGTCAATATTTTTTGACAAAACAATTGTTCAAATACCGAAAAAATCAACTTCTTGTGAAATTCTTCCTCCTTAGAGGAAATACATAACTTTCAAGGCTAGTAACTGACTTTACCTTATCCACACCTCCTAACCTTATTAGCATAAATCGGAAGAATTCGGAGATAAACGTAATAAAATATGAACAAAATCCGTAAACGTCCGAACAGCTTTCCTCGCGAGAATTCAGCGAGAGCAACATGCCAGTGGTGAAAATCGAGAGAGAAATTCAACATGAAAAAAGAGGTAAAACTTTATGTTTTCTCGATTTATAAGGTTTGTAAATTGCAAAAAGTTGAAAAACAAACGTTTCTTTACTTGAAAAGTGAAAGTAGGTATACGGTTTCTCATTCTGTCAAGTGCTATTGCACTTTAAAGTGTCAAAACAGCACCTCTCGATTTTGTAAACATGTTTCCACGTGGAAGGGAGTATTTGTGTCGGTCAAGATTAACCCACATACATTGATTTAGTAAACAAAAACACTTGTAAGTAGAATTTTATTTATTTTTTCGATTACGTGTAGCACAAAATGGTTAAATATTTAGAGCATGTTTGTCAAATGATGTTAATAGCATGTCTTAAATTGAAGAGAAAATGCAGGTGCGCTATAGGCCGTTCCTACTTGTAAGGTAGTCTACCATGCATGCATACGCAGAATTACGCGTATAAAAGTCATTATTTTTACTTATCAATACCCAGTGATTTGTGAGAACCATTTGTGTGTTTTTTAAATACCAAGAGACTAAAATTTAATTCTATTCGTATACTCGTGTGTACATGCACAACAAGTTCTTCCGAATTTCCTCTACACATATACATGTGTATCTGGATAAAGGTTTGTTTACATTTGTTTGCAGTTTTAATAGTGTCAGCTGTTTATATCAATCATGCAGTTTTCACCAGAGCCTAATGATATAAAAATGGTGGTTACTTTTCTAATTTAATATAGATATATTATGATCAGATGCATGATGTCAACATGAGTCAATGCATGCAGTTCTCACACAATTGTTTATATATCAGACATGAAACTTCACATATGTAGTTTATGAAAGTTTTTGAATATTTCTATGTGTACCACTTTTTTCCCTTTAAAAGTATTGCCCATCTAAAATTTAGCTAATGAGATAGTATAAATATTATAAAACTAGAGGTACTTTGAGCAATGAGCTCTGCATGACACTAAATTAGTGTCCATGATTTGCTATGGGAAACCCAAAATATGTGTCGGATCAAAATGTAAAATAGAAGATGCACCATTGCAATATGTAATAAAGATTCTGTGCAAGTCTCATCAAATATCACTCAGTGGTATCAGCTGAGGAATTAGCGGATAAGAGATGGGAACCCCAAAGCATAACAGAAGGACAGACATACCAATTACTTTTAAAATATACCCTCCTGCTTTTCTAGCATGGGGTATAATAATTTACAGACATGCATCAATCTGTGTCTCTGTAGATGTAAACATAATTTACATTGATGTTTTGCATTTTTGTTTGTAAGAATACATGTATCTAATTTACAAGAAAAGTATTTTTCTTTTTTTGTTTGTCTATTACAGGTTAGAGTACATCTTGAACAGCCATCTCCAGGTATGACAAAAATAACACAATTGACCCTATAAGGTCATTAACAAACAATATTGAATTTAGACAATGTATATATATATGATGTAAGACAAATGTGAAATCATTGTAGGGCTAGAAAAAAAATTCTTTCACTGCTCACACAGGCTTTTTACTGGTCAGCTTATCATAATATCACTATCCCACTAGGCTACTACTAGCCTAGATAAAAAAAAATTCACTGACCCCAGTCCAGCGGGCAATCAATTATTTTTTAGCCTTGCATTGTAAAGTCATCTATCGTCAAGACATTCCATCCTTTTTTTTTTATGATATGCACCATCCCACACAAATTACATACATAAGAAAGTATTTTTTTCCACTTTTAAAACATGGGCATTACTGATCTTTACATGTATACAATGTATATCTTTTCTTTTGAAGAATGGCATTGTTGATTGACTTTAAAAATGATCTGCCATATGTATGCGCATGATACTGTACTAAATGCATGCACAAAAATTATAATTTCATTTTAAAAAAGGCAAATATATTAAAAAGAAAAACCAAATCAAAACAATTATAATGTGCATTGAATGTTTCTTGCAGGATATACTCTGAAGACAGCGATGTGAAAGTTCAAGGTTTGCCTGTTGTGAGTATTGTACATGTAACTGTAAGGATAAACTTATAACATTTAATATGCAACATTATAACTAATATTTAATTATTTTCATCCTGATCATGCTGTGTGAAATAAACAAAGAAAATTATATAGCATGCCCAATTACTCCAGTATATACATGTACATATCAGTGTATAAAAGAATCCTGTGTAAAGTTATCTATATATAGTTAGACACCGAGAGAGAGAGAGAGAGAGAGAGAGAGAGAGATGTTGATAAAAAGGGTCAATATAATTGAAAATAATGCATGATCAGTGATTTTTGTTTTCGTTTAATGCTCAAAGATTTAATCACATTCTGTTCTATATTCAGCAGACACTTTAATAATAATGAATGGGTGGAAAAATTCTCACATCATGCTGCATAACAGTACATGTAAGTTCAAAGGCAGAAGAAAATCCATTAAAAGGGACAGTATAAATACAGTTGGTTGTATGTTTCAGCAAACAATTTAATGAACTGAAAATTATGCCAATACATAAATCATCATATTATGCAAACTTAAAATGATTTTCGTATTTTTCTGGTTTGCATGTAGCGCAATGATATATTTGTCAGTATTTTTCATTCAGTTTTTTTCACATAATTGCAAATGCATGTATTTTATTTGCATTAATTAAATTTAAAGGATTGTATTAATTTATTAATCATAATTGTAGTTCAGCTGTAACAATACATATACGAATTATCTGATGAAAGCTTCAACCATGAGAATCTAGGAAAGGATGTCAAGGCCAAAGAGAAGGTACGCTGATAACTGGTGATGATGTGTAAAGCAATAAAATAGAGAGAACAATAGTAATTCGGAATATATAGGAAAAATAGACAAAAAAATTAAATCAATTCTTTTCAAGAATAGGCAAGTCATGATAAGTCACTCTGATATAGTTCAGAGCAGATTTAGATTTGTTCAGATATAGGTATAGGGTGGGGTGGTGCCACAGTAGGGGGGGGGGGAGGGGGGCAGGGGGGGTCAAAGTTTTATTCTGGAATATTTAAGGCTTTTTATAAAATCTTATTAGATTATCAGAGCCGCGATGCATCATATATTTTTTTAATGAATACATCATATTACAGAATCCCAAAATCAAGGGTATTGGATGTGCCATAATTAGAGACAGAATGTTTATCTTGAAAGTCCTTTGTAAATATTGGAAAATCATTTTGTTAATTTCTTGGCTTTTAAATTAAGTAGGGATTAAAATAATTTCAGTTTTCATAATTTAAATTCCTATTTAAAGGAGACTTTAGTTAATATCTAGAGTTTCAATCTTTCAATTAATCTTTCAATATCAAACTAGCTGCAACTTAGAATAGCTGGTTATGAATAATCTGCAGAGCTCATAAACTAGAAAAGGTCAAATAGCTACAATTTTCAGAGAGAAAGCAATATTTTGGGGTTATAGAAAAGGGGCATAACTCTCATCATGATAGTAAATGATGGATGATAAATGTGAAAAATGTGTGCTGTTGGAATTCAAGTGAATGCAGTGCAGTCTAATTTAGTACAGTTAAACAACAGTACACATGTATCTTAAAATCAAACAACTTTGACTACCTAGGATATGTTGATGTTCATGACAGTATAACAAATTCAATGAAAGATTTGCAAACACTTTGCATTGCATATGTTTTACTTTTGTTAATTCAATTAGCTCATTTTGCGCAGATCTCTTTCTCATGCAGATTATTAATGAACAACGATAGATTGAATAAGCAACCGTAAATGGCATATATGAATTTTATATACTCTGTTTAGAGTTGAACTTTGGTATATATCTTGAACACTGAGTGATATCTTGAACACATGGAGATATCGGAGTCATTTTAAAGTCCACATTTTTTGTTCTATACATCTTACCCTGAATCTCTTGGATATCTCAGTTTTTCAGCAGTCCAATAAGCCTTTCAAGATAACAAGTGTGACTTTATTTTATTAATTCAATTAATTTATGATGAATTATAAATATATCCATCATATACATGTACTTTTATATTAATGTATTAACATTTTATATTTTTCAGGCCATATAAAAATGGTTGCTGAATTCATGAAGACTGGGATGATAAAGTACTTTTCTACTCTTATGAACTATATCTAAACATCGTTTGAGGATCCCTTTCTAAGAAAAGAAGAATTTGCATATTCAAAGACTCTTTAGTTTATTGTTTGTTTGTATGTTGTTTTAAATTAATGTTCTTCTTGAGAATTTTTAACTCATATGGGGATGCCAACATTTGCTGGTGGAGAGCTGCAAATTTTGCCCTTTACTTGGCACACATGGCTAATTGAGCAATGAGGGATCTTTTTGGTGCAAGCACCTACTGCAACACAGGACCTCTGTATACTGTAAACCAATTATTATACGCGTCATTTTTTATTCGCGACTGACCGCCAGAGGGATCTTTTTGGTGCAAGCACCTACTGCAACACAGGACCTCTGTATATACAGTCTTTTCTCTGTACGACAGTGGGACTTCGAACCAGCAATTTAATGATCAACTCCTTACTCATGACTCTCGAGCAGACGCTCTTGCCACTGCGCCATGCAGGCAACTTCATAGGTTGTACAATAATAAGATAAGATTTATAACTTAAAACTGGTGTTTTTAATAAATTCAGTCACAATATAGAAAATTTTTGGAAAAAAGGGGGGTAATAGCTAGCTTTCACTGGTATTGCATGCTAAAACTATATGAATTACATATTTTAATTACACATGTATTTTAAACCAGATCAGTAAAGAAAGAAACACTTGAATATTTTTACAATGAATTTTATTATAAGCTTGACTATCTTAAAAACATGGAATCTTGATCTTTTTGAGTATGAAGAAAAAAAATAATTAGAATGTACTTGTGCACTTAGTTTTGTTTATTAAAAAATATTCAAATTTGGAGATCTTGTGAAGGATATCTAAATATTGTTTTATAAATTTCTACTTCATATTTAAACAGCGTGATCTTTACTATAACATAGTCCTGTAATATACAACTTATTTGTTGTTGAATATCTCATTGTCTGTCTACATGTAGTGCTTAGTAAATTTCTTGTAAATACAAATATGACTGCATGGTCAGTGGCGGATTTAAAGGGGGGGCGCCCCCGGCGCGCGCCCCCCCTAAAATTGTCAAAGTTAACGTAAATCACAGTTTTGTCTAGAAAATGTATATATGTCTACTCGGTAGACCTCATTTTTACTCTACAAAATCTCTAGAATCCAGGAGCTTCCAGGAGCTTCGCCCCCTAGGCCCCCACCAGGGCTTTGCCCTGGACCCACTGGGGGCCTCAAGGCGGCCCCCAGACCCCTTGCCTACTTTTGGCGCCCCCTCTAACTTCAATTCCTGGATCCGCGCCTGATGGTGTTTGTTTACTTTGTCTTTTTTTCCAATATGAGTCATGATATATAAATGGTGTGCATATCAGTTTAAATTATTTTTGTTGAATTCATTTAACAAAAAAAAATAATAATAATAATAACTGAATATAATTATTATGTAGATAGATACCTTCCAGAAATATTTACATGTAATAGTAGCTGCAGATATGTAGCTTATGTGAAATCAGGTACAGTGCATACTTGAAAATCAATTTACCTGTATTCATTAAACAGAAATTTAGTGAACATATTTTTATACATAAGCATTATTTCATACTGAAAATAGACTGTGTGTTAATGTTATACTCATTCAACATAAACATTAATCAGAAGTGATGTTAATGAAATAAAACATATATCACAATACATTTTCTCCCCCCCCCCCATTAATCACAGTTTAAATGTACATGTATATAAATTGATAAAAGAAACTGACTATACCATTAAAAATCTTGAGTTGTCTTTCCTTGTTTAAAGAAAATATCTGATGCAATGAATGCTCCCTTGGGTTTATGACCCTGAATATTAATAAGGTTAGGAGGTGTGTTATCTCAGCCCTAAATAAATAGACTTAGATTAAATACAAAACTGGTTTTAATTTGTTTGCTGTATAAGGACTTTCAAGATATTAATTTGTTTTAGAAACAAAATCTCCTTAGTGGAATCCGACACTGAAAAATATACGCATGATATGAAAAGTGGACATTCATTCTCTCTGGATTAAAATTTGAATTGTGTATGATTTATTGAAAGCAAATGCTTAAAAATACTTAACAAATTAAAAATAAGATATTTTTTTTTAAATCAAAAGCTGTTAAATTTTACAATTATATTATTTCTAGAAAATTAAAAGTTTTAAATCATTATAATTGATAAGAGCATGGTTTAATGAAATACATTGCATTGTAGAGGTTTGAATTCCTTAGCACGACGAAAAGGTGCTTTTTCTGGTCAGAGTGTAATTTCTTTCTCAATAAACCTTTTTTTAAAAATACCTGAAAGTCGTTTTATCGCTATGGGTACACCTGTTTAAACCCGCGAATCATACTACCGAAACCGAAACCCAGACAGCAGAAGTGTTTGTTATTTTCATTTGTCAGCCCTTAGTAAATTAACGAATCGCGTTGGAAATATTGAAACGAAAGTATATGATGTAGAAGATTTTTTGGAAAATAAAATGACGATGGTTTCTTGGTTTCATCTCTTTCTGATAATTTGGGTCTTACAGCAAAAGGCAGAAGGATCACATTTCCGTGGAGGAATTTTAATGTGGAAACCGACAAGCAATGAGAATGAAGTGAGTACAAGGTTACATTCCGTTATAGGATCTTAGATTTTACACAAGATAAGAAAATCTACTGAGAGGTGCAGCATTGTTACATGATCATCGCATTAATCGATCAATAAAAATCATGAAAAAATTATAATTAAAAAAATCGTAGCTAGGTATTCCGTCCATAAATAAGCGGACAAATATAAGCGATCGAATTGGAGTTTTCTGTCATACGATATCCATTAAAATATGCCAAGCGTGCACTCAAGGACACACAAACCTAGTGAAGGTTATGGGTGTAGTAGTGATTGTAAACAACAGTTACAAGAATTAATAGTACATTTATTGTTTGATGAGTGAGGTAAAGTGCACTAAATGAATGTAGTTAATACTGCATTCGAATAATGCGTAAATGCTCATTTACCTGACACACGTTTACAGCACGATGAGAAATAAAGTTTATGCAGAACACAACGGTTACAAAGCGTTAATTTGAAAACTATACACTTCCCAGAAATGATAATTAAAATGGGAAATATTTCAATAATGGTAAAATCTATACACTTAGTGATTCTTATGCCCCTGTAATCGACATTTCAGTGGTATATCTATAAGTTTTTGTCCTGTCCTGTCCGTCTGTCTATTTGTTTGTCTGTTTATCAGTTTATCCGTTTATCTAGCTGTTTGTCCTCAAAAAACTTATTCTTGTCTATAACTTTTGAGTGGGTTGGGCTATGGCTTTCATGATTCACAAGTGTATTCCTTGTGACAAGGCCTTTCTTTTGATCTCTCGGTCTAGACCTTTGAGTTTGACGAAGTTTTACGAAAAAAAAAACGAATTTTAATCTTGATCATAACTTTTAATTAGTTAGTGCTAGGACTTTCTCACTTCGCTTGTGTATTCATTGTGACAAGATCTTTCTTTGAGTACCATCAAATGTTACCTTTTGACCTTTAAAGTAGATTTTGTCCAACTTTTTTTAACCTTAACCTAGCCTTTAACTTTTGAACAATTAGTACTTGAGCTTTCATATTTCACAGGCTGACTTGTATTTCAGAATTTCAGCCTTCGCCATAAGCTGCCATATGGAGGCAGTTTTATAGTTAGCCTCAGAGGTGATTTTTTTTCCTGGTCCACTGAAATTTTTCTTCTTTATCTCTCAAGAAGACCATTGCCGTTTATCAGTTCATGCATGAACAACACTAGGTATGTCGATCACCTGTGCAGATTTCTTGACCAGTGACTGTTCCATCAATTAAACGTACTTTGACGTACATATCAATAATACAATAATTGATTAATCTTTTGAATCCTATTTTAAATGATTATTCGTATACGAAATATTAATATAGACAATAAAATGTCTTTCTTTGATTGGTATTACGGGCATTAACGTCGTAGATAAAATTACGCAGGTAATGTATTTTTTTTTCTGCAACAACTGCTACATTGATTTCCTTGCAACAACCAAAGACATAATTTATTGTTTGGATAGTAATTGAATATAGTTGTAAAATACGACAAAAGCAATCCACATGAAATTTTTCTAGCCATATATGGGTCAGCAGCGGACAAAATCTCGCGAAATACCCTAGGAAAACTAAAGGCACTGTGAGCAATGAGCTCACTAAATGATAACCACACCTCCCATATGAATATAATGGGAGTGTCCATGTTAAGTTGTGGGAACCCAAAATGCGTGTCAGATCAAAAAGTAAAATAGGAGGTCACAATGGCAATATGTAGTAAAGATTCTGTAAAAGTTTCATCAAATTTCATTCAGTGGTATGAGAGGAGTTGTGGATAAGAGATGGAGAAGCGTAACAGATAGATGGACGGATGGACGTACAGACAGACGGACGGCCGGATTGACAATACGATTACTATGTACCCTCCCGCTTTTCATGTGGGAGGTATATTAAAACACACCTTTAGAGCAAATTCAGGACATTCGACGATAGATTAGATATTTAAAACAAACAGTACTCAAGCTCTTCATCCATTTAAACAATACAAATTAGGAGGAGGGCCTGTTGGATCAGGTGCATCACCTGCCGATCGACCGGTCGCACCCACCATGTACTGCGTGATATAATCGGAAAATAACGGGAAATTCCGTAGATAATTCATTGTGCAATAACAATAGGTATGCAAAACCTCCATTATCATTTGACTTGATGATACATGTAGACTGTCTTTACAGACAATACCATTGTATCGACCAAATAACTTACAAAATGATGACTTAATTGAAACGAGACTGTTAATATTCTTGTTTTGTTAATTTATTTTTCAATTACAAACCTTGCTTGTTTGTTCATAGAACATGCTCTTGCATATTGAATCACCTCAGATATATACAAGGCATCTTCTTATGTTCGATTTATTTTATCGTTTGCCCTATAGTTTAATTCTACTTTTGAAAAAAAAATGCTTATCTTCACCTTATTTTTTGAACAGTTGGTGAGAAAGCATTCATATATAACTAATGTAATCCTTCAGAAAAAAAACTTTCTTTGGGATTTTGTGAGGGCGGGGACAATAAAATAATAGTTTAAATTCAAGTATATTTGTTGCATAACAGATCGATACAAAATGCACTGTATCTCCTCAAGGAGCTTTTGTCAAGGTCAAGGGGCAAAATTAATGGTGTTCAATGGAGGACTTTGTCATAAGAAAAACCG